GTATCTGTCAGGGACCAAGTCATTTGATTATATTATATTCTGTGTAAAAGTTTCATAGAAGATACCAGTTCTACAGATATAATCAGTTTACAGTCCTTCAGTTTAAGGAATTAAGTTCAGACATCTGCTCTGCAGAAGTGCCCTTGAGCAACAATCCCTGTCAGTACCGGACATGCTGTTCTCTAGCAGAGATAGTGCTCTGAAGTCCTTCTGGAGGGGAGCATTATTCTATTCTTAAAGTCTTAAAGACAGATGAGCACTGTCAGTCAGGTTAGGAAAGTTATTTATACCTCTTATTCACGGTTATATAGTTGATGTTTACACTCATTTTGAAATGTGGGAAGAACACCAGCTTAGCTAAGAGCTGTAGTGAGTTGTTTTTTGCCCCAAATCAAATCCATAATTTGGCTGCTACAAAGATTACACTCAGAACAATGCTGCCATCTGTTGAACAGTATTCGCTACTGCAAATGAATATGCCTTTTACAATACACACTACATAAATAAAAGGCAACTGATGGATATTTTGGCTGTCAATAATTCTGTTGATTATTCTTTATTAAAATTTATTCATTGTTTAGACCATAAAATAAGGAAATACCCATCTTGTTCATTTCAACCAGCAGTCCAAACCCCAAATATGTTATTAACACAGATGAGCAGCAAATCTTCGCATCTGAGATGAGTCCAAAGATATTCAGTTTGCATTTAAAATAGAGAAACGCTCCCACCTTTGCAAAGCTGGAACGAGTGAATATTCTGAATTTACTATTTGCTTGATAAATAAGTCAAATGATTGTCAAAGGTGTTGCTGATTCATTTCCTGTCGATTGACTATTTGTTTCAGCCCTAATAGATAAGTAGATCTATTTTCCTCTACTGCTGTACGAAATGTACTACATTTTAAGCTTTTTATATCTGATCATCGCAGTCACATGAGGCAGATTACTCAATGTGAAACTGGGACTGACGGTGTTTCTCTACGGACGGGTTTAGCATCTCACATTCTGGGTGTCAAATGTCCATGTCCTCTCTTAGGTGACCACAGACTTATACCATGTGCTGGTCAACAACGGATACCAGCTGGACTGTCGAGGTGTTGTCAAGGTGAAGGGGAAGGGGGAGATGACCACTTACTTCCTCACCAGCGGTCCACCGGGCAGTTAACGACAGGCAGGCCGACCGCAGAGTGACTCCCACTGCACTGACAAGACAGAGACTGCAGAGAGACCGAGTGGTCAGCTCGGCGATGAGCACCGAAGCACGGTGCGAACACGCCGGGGGACAGAAGACGGCCGACAGAGACGAGCTCGGCCTGTCTGTATTTTGTCAAGTACTCAAGATGCACATATGTAGGACGTTGTTCATGTTCGAAAGGCTTTTTCCCAAGCTGCTCGAGAGATCACAAAGCCTAGTTGCCTTAGGACGGAAGCGACTTTGCTTGTGTTAATGAGCAATAGTACGAGTATTTCATCTGGAGTCGTTATTTATTTTCGTGCGGATGGATTTTCGTGATGACCTTGTAGAAAAAAGAATATATATACAATATACAAAAAAAACTGTTACTTAAAAGAAAATATGCAAGGACAACATCAAGGATGAAAAATGACCAAAGAACAAATGTTTGATATGAAGTACACCCTAATGATTCTGTTCAAAAGTACAGTAAACCGAAGTAATTTATTCATCTTTTGACAGCGAAGGCCACGGTAACGTCACTGTCGTTGATAGGGACAAACACTTTCTTTTGTTGTTGTGAACTTATTCATGAAGGAGAACACACGCACACATACGCAGATAGAACACACTCACAATAACCTTGGCTTGGACTTCTGTGTTTCTTATCAGGACCCTCTTTGTTTCTTTTAGCCTGTGATTAGCCACAGTCTGGCCACAAGGCGGTTTGTGGTTCACTGAAATGTGCAATTGATTACTCGCTCCCTGCAATGTACTTTTGGTTGAAGCCAAAAACAAGAAGTGTGAAATGAAGGAAGAAAAGTTGCATTAGTATCCCGGTACTGAAGAGAGATTCTGAAACTGTCATGAAACGTTTTGTATAAGTGTGTGTGAAGACCGTGTGTATGGGTGTGTGTGTGTGTGTGTCTGTGTGGGTGTGAGCACACATAGCTAAATGCTGATCTTTATCTAGGGGCATACTGTAACTTTTCACTGTGAGGTTTTTATGATACTGTATGACAATGCTTTCTTGCCAAACTGGTTGCTGCAAGGCATGTTTTATATTATTCCTCAGAGATGTGTCCATTTCTGATTTCTCGTGTCAAATCAATAATTTGAAGAGAGTTGTATCTACTGCGCCTTTTACTGGTCTGTGACTGATTTCACTCCCACCTAAATAAGCAAACGCCTATGAAACGTTTGTTTTGGATTGTGTTACAACGTGTGAACGTTAAGTGGATTCCTGACGGCTTCAGGATGAACTGTATGCAGGAATTCTCTGTCTGCTCACAAGTATTGCTTTGAGATTATGCAGTTCCAAAATCTGCATACTTCATGGACAATATTCACAACTTTACACAACAGTATTTGACCCGATCTGGTTATATTTCACACATGGAGGCTTGTTAACCCCCTAAAATTTGTCTTTTGAAACAATAATCATATGAATGTATGTAATAATTTCTATCTTTGTCCACAATTAAACTACTTCTGAAGGAAAACACTATACATTGCCTTTACATTGTACTAGAGGCCAAATTGATTGGACACCACGTTTGCTGAAAAGTGAAGGTGTATTTTACATTTTGACAAGCGTTACACCTGATGTTGCTTTCACTCACTTTTCTGTCTGAGCCAAAAAAAACGTTGCCTTAACAGGCTACAAAAAACACCCTCGCTTTCTCTGTCCTTGTGAAAGGTCAACTAAACACTTGTATTGTCCTTTAAAAAGTGTCAGAGTTTAAGAAATAGTGCAATGATTGACTTGATTAACTTACCCTTGGACAATAAATTAATAAATTGCCGTTTTTGCATTGATTGTGTTTATTTGTTTTTTTTATTTCTATTGAGGCTCTTGGATCTCTTCAGGAGCAGTGGTAGTAAAGTAGTGAACGGCTCAACCAGCTCTCATTTCAATCAGCAGTCTGCAATCAAGATTTCTCCCTGTGACAGTAACCTGAGAGAAGCCTCCGTCTCCTTTTCTGAATAAATCAGTCTACAGTTTCAAGAGGGTGATGCAGGAGAGAGTATTTAATTGCTTGCACATGAATAATGAATTTCTGTTGAGGTAATGGCAATGTTCACACACAGCACTCTATGCTGAACATTAATTAAGAGACATAAATTCGTCCTAATCCCTGATGAAAAAGCACTAATGTTACTGTAATAGGCTCAAGATACAGGGACTTGTTATGTGTGTGTACTACACTGTTGTCTACTTTTTCTTTTGTACACTGTGACTATGTATCTCATATTCGGGTGCATCTCAAAGAATTGGAATATCATCGAAAAGTTAATTTATATCATAAAATATATTAGTCTGGTTCAGTAGGCTACACAATCATGGGGAAGACTGCTGACTTGACAGTTGTCCAGAAGACAGTCATTGACACCCTCCACAAGGAGGGTAAGCAACAAAAGTTCATTGCTAAAGAAGCTGGCTGTTCACAGAGTGCTGTATCCAAGCATGTTGGTGGAAAGTTGAGTAGAAAAAGGTGCACAAGCAACAGGGATAACTTTGTGAGGATTGTGAAGCAAAGCCCATTCAAGAATTTGGGGGAGATTCACAAGGAGTGGACTACGGCTGGAGTCGGTGCTTCAAGAGCCACCACACACAGACGTATCCGGGACTCGGGCTACAACTGTCGCATTCCTTGTGTCAAGCCACTCCTGAACCAGAGACAACATCAGAAAGTAAATTTTGCATTTCATTTGGAAATCAAGGTCCCAGAGTCTGGAGGAAGAGTGGAGAGGCACACAATCAAAGTTGCTTGAGGTCCAGTGTGAAGTTTCCACAGCCTGATGATTTGGGGAGCCATGCCATCTGCTGGTGTTGGTCCACTGTGTTTTATCAAGTCCAAAGTCAGTGCAGGAAAGTTTAGAGCACTTCATGCTTCCCTCTGCTGACAAGCTTTATGGAGGTGCTGCTTTCATTTTCCAGCAGGACTTGGCACCTGCCCACACTGCCAAAAGTACCAATACCTGGTTGAATGACCATGGTATCACTGTGCTTGATTGGCCAGCAAACTCGCCTGACCTGTATTGTCAAGAGGAAGATGAGAGACACCAGAAACAACAATGCAGATGAGCTGAAGGCCCCTATCAAAGCAACCTGGGCTTCCATAACACCTCAGCGGTGCCACAGGCTGATCGCCTCCATGCCACTCCGCATTGATGCAGTAATTCATGCAAAAGGAGCCATTACCAAGTATTTTTTTTTTTAATTGGTCTTATGTAATATTCAAATTTTCTGAGATACTGAATTTGGGGTTTTTATTAGCTGTAAGCCATAATCATCAAAATTAAAAGAAATAAACGCTTGAAATATATAACCCTGTGTGTAATGAATCTATATAGTATATGAGTTTCACTTTGTGAATTGAATTGCTGAAATAAATTAACTTTTCGATGATATTCTAATTCATTAAGATGCACCTGTATATCCTATAGTCTATATAATTTCAACATTTTAATATGAAATAATATTTTTACCCAAATGTATGTATTTTTTGTATGTCTGCTTCGATTTGATTTGACTTTATCTATTTATTTTTCCTTTATTTGTTTATTTTTTTTCCTCTCCTCAATCACAGGAACCGCGTGCTCTGTTTTCGATGAAAGCCGCCTTTAACGTGCTGCACGGAAGTAACTCGGGTAAGGACGCACGCGGCCAGCAGGGGTAGCCCTCACGCCCTCTGTCTCCAGCTAATCATTTCAACAAATGGCACCTGTGCGGTTCAAAGGAAAAGCCGGGAGGCAACGCAACTCCTGCATCCTGGTTCGCTGCTCGAAACTCCAGTCTTACAACTTTAAGCAACCGGAAAGGCCGCTGCGTCCTCACTTGGAAACTTTCCAAACGCATGTAGAAATCCACCGTAACAGGTGTTGGCGGAGACTTCTTATACATTTTAGGTAAGTGGCGGAGTTACATTATATATTCACCTTTCAGCAGCGTATCGGTGTCCTCCGTGAGGTTGACAGGCAGGTTTCATACATTCGTCACCTATCTAATTTGTTAGAGCCGACAAGAGTTTAGATAAGTCTTTAACTCTGATATATTCTGAATTACAGGAACGACACACTTCCTCTTTCATTTTTGCGGAATTGCTTTTTGTGATTACGTGGGACCTTCTGTTGTTTACTTGTGTTTCAAGTTACTTTAAGCTGTAGAAAAGTGTGAACAGTTGTTTGATTTGTAAAATTATGTTTCTGACAAGCACTTCCTGAAAATACAGAAAGTTAATCTGAGGGGGACATAATACTGATTTGCCACTCTATCCAGATTTACAAGCTCACATAATATTGAGTTTAAATATTTTCTGATCGAATGATTTCTTCCTCTGTTGTAACTCTAAAAACTGGACCAACTGGTTATCGATTGGAGACGACTGCAGAGTGGTCTGTGCTGGTTTCCCTTTTGCTGGAACGCCAAAAGAGTGTCCTCTTGAATTAATTATGAAGGAGGCTGGCTTGAGAATAGAGTAAATTAATTATGAACAAGTAAGAGTGAGTCTCTAACTGAACAGTGATCACCCACTGATACACGCAGATGTCCTACATTGCAGTGATATCCTGTTTCACCTAGCAGGAAACAGCCTCTTATTGTGCCAGGGCCGGCTTAATGTTGTGGTCCTGTCACGCTCCACGTAGCAAACTCTGCTTCCTGTAGCAGATGACAGCTCTGATCATTATGGGTGTGGTGTATGTGTAGCAAGGCGTTGTCACTTATTAACAGGTGAGGGAGTTGCGGGTTGTGCCAGCAGTGTCGTGGCCCAACTGCTGCCACGTGGGTCCTGGAGGACTGTGGCCGGAGCAGGTGAATTGAGGTGTGGTGTGTTTGTTCGCACTCTCCACATCCGTGTTCTCTCCGCCAGCCCTGTGGGACTGTTTCCGAAAGAGAGGAGGGGGAGCAATGTCGGCAAGATCTCCTGCTGCTATGACACTTGCAGAGATGCACAAACCGGTTTAAGAAATGTCCCTCTTGCTTGTCTCCCCCACCCACCCCCCACACTTCAGTAACAACTAACTGAATAATTAGTGAGTAAAACCAGGTAATGCTGACAGAGCAGTTTGGTTTTTCAGAGCTTGGCTAAAACTATCAAGTAACATACGCAAACATTTTGCAGCAAACGTCTTGGGACAAATTTCGTTTTTTTTCTGTTTTTAGCAGCAACACCCATTGTGAAACATGCGTAAATTCCTACGCCGGCGTATGTCCCCCCTGAAACTGGTGCTCCTTGGGGGGACTGTCTTCATGGTGGTCTTAGTGGTTCTCCAGAGGGATGTTGGGTCCTCGTCTGCTGGTGACCCATGGTTTCAGGAGCTGGTGGAGAAGAAGGATAAGGTGTTGGTCATGGTCCGAGAGGCTGTCAACAACATTGGCAACCAGATCATACCTCCGCAGGCAGCGTCGGTACAGCAGCAGCCCACCGAGGACGCCAAATGCCTTTCTGGATTCTACACTCGGGCTGAGCTCAAACCTCACCTGGAGAGACCGCCTCAGGACCCCGAAAGCCTTGGGGCTGATGGGAAAGCATTCCAGAAAGACAACATGTCCCCAGAAGAGGTGAAGGAGAAGGAGGAGGGAATGACGAGGCACTGTTTCAACCAGTTTGCCAGTGACCGTATCTCGCTCAGCCGTAGTCTCGGGGATGACACGAGGCCTTCAGAGTAAGAGCATGTTCTCAAGATGATCTGAGATAGTTTGGAGTTTGCTGACATGTAGATACCAGGCCAGATAATACCCTGGGTCCCAGCTGGGGTCACGCTCGGAGCAGTAAATTATTTACATGCATTTTGATATTGTGTCTACATTTTCCTGGAAAATCACTTAGTCAAAAGAGTCATCTGAGTGTAACTGCAAAAAAAAAAAAAAAAAAAGCCTCGCAGTATGCACATGTTAGTATGGGTGTGTACTAAGTAATTGAGACTGAGGTATTTTCTGGGATGCAAACACTTCCACTGACAGTAAATGCTTGTCAGACTTGACATCTAAACATATCACCGGCTCGATACGCCTTGAGCTGTATATTTTTTGAGAGGCTTTTTAAGTGAGCTGATTGTTTATGACCGTTTGCTCAAATGTGCTATTTAAAGTATTGGTGACGAGACCTTGAATATCTGTAATAACAATGGTCTGTTAATACGTGGCTCTGCAAGACCTTGTGTGACTTTCATTTCATCAGATACGCCTCTCACTTTTGCACACTTCTTTGTATTCTGACCTGGCTCAGGTGCGTGGAGAGTAAGTTTCGTCGCTGTCCTCCTCTGCCTACCACCAGTGTTATTATTGTCTTCCACAACGAGGCTTGGTCTACCCTCCTCAGGACGGTCTACAGCGTCCTGCACACGTCTCCTGCCATCCTGCTCAAAGAGATCATCTTGGTGGATGACGCCAGTGTTGCAGGTGCGAAAAACATAAATACACACTATTGACACAATGTAACTGAGGCGTCACTGGCAGGAAAATATATAATACGTTGTTTACGACGTTGCCGACAGTAAGGGGAGTTCAGGTTTACGACTTTATCCATTCGTATTTACTTAATCGGGCAGGAAGTGAGGAACAAATTTGTAAGCTGAGCAATTCTGCTTTCCTGTTGATGTTATCAATAAAGCGAATGCAAACTAAACATTTCACAGACATTGTGTTTTATAATGTAAAGATGATATTGAACACTGTGCATGTTTCACAGAAGAGTTGGACAGTGAAGAAACATTTTCAAACAACATGACATAAAATCACCAGGAAGCTTGAGGAAGTCATTTCTTCAAAAAGGTGCAGGCAGGACACAGCTGCAGCAGCACAGTCTGAAAGCCATAAAGTCTCAAGTTATTGGTGATTTATTAATTAAATTGACCTTCGGAGTTTATAGGGCAGCGTTCCAGTCACTTTAAGCTGTGAGCTTTGATAAGAATGGTGTTGACTTGGGAATTTTAGCAGTTTGCACACAGAGTATCAGGCTGGTGTCATACATGAAAATGATGTTGTGTATTTTACTATGGGTATGTCCACAAGGCTGGCCTCCTGTCAAATAGAAAGTGTTGTGCACCAACTTAACAGAATCTCCAAGGCCACCTCCCCCTCAGTGAGAGTTGGTCAAAGTCAATAAAAGAAGCCTACCTTCGAGGTATGAATGCACCTTTGTCATATATTTTGCATATGAAAGTGTTTTTACAGTCCAATCTCTTGTGCTGCTGTGACTGTGAAAATGTCATTGGATTATTGCACAGTAGCAGCATATTGAAGTACAGGAAAATTCATGACTTATGGCTGGAGAAAATAGAGAATTTTTAACCTACTATCACTACCCGTGTGTGTGTGTGTGTTTTTCAACCTCAGTCTAAATATCCTCTTTGTCAGTTAACTGAAGCTAATGCACCGTTACATTCTGTACCCGCTGTATTTCCTACTAAAAATAAACTTCTCTTTTTTGCTACCAGAGCTGCCTCTCAGGCATAACGTTTAGACAATGTGGTTGCCAAATTCACTGAGACCGAAACCTTTCAGAAATGTGCGCCGTGCATTGCGGTAATTAAGACTCGTAGAGGGGAAGTGTGATCCAGATTTAACAGCAACTTTTCCACTTCAGGCAGTCGTCACACTGGTATACATTTAATTGTTTATTTTTCTTATCTGAGTCAGCAAGCTGCTTTATTATTTTATCTGTTCATTATTATTGCTGAAAATGATAGTTCCTCTCACCGTAAAGTGTGTTGCACCCCTGACCAAACTCATTACCCAGCGCATTACGATTGGGTGTGGCTCAAAGTGAGCTCTGTTGCATCGGTAACCACATCCGTCATTGTTTTAAACAAAGACGAAACAGACATGCTAATGTTGTTTCCATTTTCCGCAGATCACCTGAAGAACCAACTGGAGGTGTTTGTGCCTCAGCTGAAGATTGTCCGCGTTGTGAGGCAGCTGGAGAGGAAGGGCCTCATCACTGCCAGGCTGCTGGGTGCCAGCATCGCTCAAGGCGAAATCCTAACTTTTCTCGACGCACACTGTGAGAAAACGCACACACACACACACACACACACCACAACAGCCACACACCACAACAGCCACAATGGCCGTTTTTTAAGCAGCTGTGTGTAGCTCATTGGGACAGTAGCACTACCAGGGTTAGGGGCTAATGTGTTGTTTTCCCTCTTTAATAGAAATGTACATACTTGCACTACTGCAAGAAAGTGATTCATATTTCCTATAGTTCTCTAGTTTGTTTGTGCCATATTATGGCAACATTTTGAATCAAATGATTATATTTTCACTTAATATTAAGGTCCATCCATAATACAGATTTATCCATGTTTTGTTTCAACTTTAACTTTATCACGGTATTTATAAAGTTTTCAGTAAAATGTTCAGTAGATATAAAAATGTAATTTACAGCAAAGATTTATTGGAAGCAGAGTTAATTACAACTTAATTACAACATCTCTGTTTGGTCTGAAAATGTACTTTGACTCACAAAGCATACACTTTGTCATTTAAATTAGGGAGCAAACATCCTTATTGTGATAGTAACATGTTTAATTGTTTATTTTAGATCATTTTCAGACATCTTCCTCAGTATTCAGCTATCAGAAAATGGACAGAAGTGTCCTCTAAATGTAATGTAGTAATATAATTTTCATGAATCCGTGCTTTGCTCCGATCATAACTTTCTTTCACCTGAAACGGATTTTTGTTAAATTGGTAATCCTTCAGATTTCAGTCCTGGTTGATTTGCAATTTCTTTTTGAGTGAAATCAATGGAATTATCCTCAGAGTTTAGCAGTCTGGAGTCTTTTTTTTTTTGTTGATACATGAGCTTCAAGTTTTCAGAAACGTGTGCATAGGTACATTTTTCTGTATGGAGAAAAACTGCAATACAGCATTTTGTCCTGTAGTTGTCGCCACAGACACAGTTTGCACTGCAAATACAAACTAAGCCTAACTGAGGTTAAGAAGTAGACATGAAGTAATCTCTGTCGTTCCTCCCTGTCTAGGTGAGTGTTTCCATGGTTGGTTAGAGCCACTGTTGGCCCGCATTGTGGAGGAACCTACTGCCGTGGTTAGTCCAGAGATCACCACCATTGACCTCGAAACCTTTAAGTTCAACAAGCCTGTGGCCTCCAATCACGCTTTCAACCGAGGTAACTTTGACTGGAGCCTGAGCTTCGGCTGGGAGACGATCCCCGAGGCTGCCAGGAAGCTGCGCAAGGATGAAACCTACCCTGTAAAGTAAGAAGGATCATGTTGGCTTCACTCGGATAATCCTGAATCATTTAAGTCTCTAAAGCTTTGATCTGACTCTGACAATTTCAGAACGCCCACGTTTGCCGGAGGTCTTTTCTCAATCTCAAAGAAGTACTTTGAACACATTGGGACATATGACGACAAGATGGAGATCTGGGGCGGGGAAAATGTGGAGATGTCGTTCAGGGTTTGTCTCTTTATCTATACTTCCACAGTTCCACACGTTTTGTTAGTCTCATTGTCAAGTTGGAGTCTGAATTGCTACCTGCATCACATTTGATTCGCAGGTGTGGCAGTGTGGGGGTCAGCTTGAGATCATCCCTTGTTCTGTGGTTGGACATGTCTTCCGCACCAAGAGCCCCCACACCTTCCCCAAAGGCACAGAGGTCATCACTCGCAACCAGGTACGCCTGGCTGAGGTCTGGATGGACGACTACAAGACGATTTACTATCGCCGCAACCAGGCAGCTGCAGTTATGGCCAGGGAGGTCAGTGTGGCACTGAGTAACACTGTTCAAATGTTAAATGCACATGGATACAATGACATTTATCACCCTTCTTCCACAACATTTTTCACTAGAATGTTTACCCCGTGCTGCAACAAGTTGATATGAAAATGTAATTATAATATTCCCATTTCAATGTTTATAGCATAAGTTTGGGGACATATCTGATCGCCTGAATCTGAGAGAGAAGCTGAATTGCAAGAACTTCACCTGGTACTTGAACACAATCTACCCAGAGGCCTTCATTCCTGACTTGCATCCAGAAAAATCTGGAGCAGTAAGTCATGTTTCCCTTTGTCAGTATTTGCATATTTACCATATGACACACCGCTCATATTACATAACCGCGGCTGTTATTTGTGTCTGTGTTTGCACCAGATTAGAAACTCAGGATCTAAAACCTGCCTGGATGCTGGAGAGAGTAACAATGGAGGTAAACCTGTGATTATGTACCAGTGTCACAACATGGGAGGCAACCAGGTACGACTATTGACTCCCGCATGTGAAATGTAAGATTTGAAGATGAATTGATGTTCTCTGGGACTGGTTAGGTCTCTGATTGAATGATTGTCTCTTCTAGTACTTTGAATACTCCTCTCATAAGGAGCTGCGTCATAATATTGGAAAGCAGTTGTGTCTTCAAGCCACGCCCCAGCCAGAGGCAGTGACCATCGAGCTCTGCCAGCGGAAGGGGAAGGGCACCAGTGTGTTACCCAAAGAGGAGTGGGTCTTTACAGAGGTGAGGGACATTTGGAGCCGAACTTAAGAAACTAGTATTATTTGAGAGTTTGATGCGCTCTTTAAATTAAGCTAAGCTAAACAGCAGCTGGCTGTAGCTTTATATTTACCGGACAGAATGAGAGTATTTATCATATCTAACTTGGAAAGAAAGCAAATAAGCGCAACATCCTGAAATGTTGCATTTATTTAGCATAGAATGGTGAAAGGAATAGTTCAAATGTAATCTATTGGTATGTTGATATTAATTTAGGCTTCTGTATTGAGTCACCTTTTTCTCTGACGCTCTCCAGGAAAGTCTGGTGAAGAATCCCAGTAGTGGGAAATGTTTACGGCTGAATGAAGGCCAGCTTCAGATGGACCACTGTAATGCTGACGACCTCTTCCAGCACTGGACCTTCAGCTGAGCTCCCTGTCGGCCCATCAGGTGACCTCTGGCACCTTGTGTCCCCTTCCCAAGACACTGCTCTGAGGATCCAACTCAACTTTGATCCAGAAGGACTTCCTGCTGTGGAGCTTGGAGCATTTGGCCATGCTGAGTGGACAGTTAACGATGGAGGACAAAGAAAAGACTGTTGAAGACGCTTGGGTTGGCCTTAACTTGTTTTAAATTTATTTATGATGGAAACTCAGAGAGATGTTTGAAATGTGGCTGGGAATTATGAGACGCTAGACTGTGGACTTTGCATGCAGGAGCTTGACTGAGGGGCGAATGATTTTACTTCAGTGAATTCACACTCCAGCTTGGAAAATAGCCATTTAGTGTTTTATTTTTGTTGTTTTAATGAATGTTGAAATGTGAAATATTCACTTAACTCATGAAATCAAGAGATGTCTGGTTTTTTTTTAAATAAAATATATTATTTGTTGTGTCAGATAAACGATCAATTGTTTATTTTAATCACCATAAGTATCTAGAAAAAACAGAGGTTTCACAGTTATACTGTGAAATATATTTAATTTGATGCGTATGTATGTGTGCACTACAGCTTATAATATTCTATTAACATATTTTATTTTATTTGTTTTTACTTTTTTTTAGCAGAGCAATGGTTGGTATTGATTCACCGGGTAATATTCTGACATGATTAACTTACTGTGGTTACTGATGCTACAAATATTAAATCATTTGAACTTAGGTTTCCTGCCATGATTCATGACTCATCTTAGGCACCTATACGTTTATGCAACGTTTGTCTAAGGAGTGGTTTAGGAGCAAGAAACATGCCAATTGTTTTCAGCCTTGTCTGAACAGACCTGAAATGTGAGTTTAAATGGATAAGCGCGAGTTCTTCCAGGTTGCCAAACCTGATCTGATTGAATGCGTTGGGTCTCACCGTTGACCCAACCTGCTGAACCGGAGAGCCGAGGTCATAAATGCATTACGAAGCACGAGGAAGCGGCCACGCTAAGGCACTATATTGCTGTCCAACAGTAGGTGGCAGCATTAACTTGCTGAGTGTTTCTGCAAGGCGAGGATGACAATTGAAATGTCACCATGCTGCGTGTGTCATGTGGCAATTGGGCAATGAGAGTTGCCACAGTTCGGACAGACTGAGAGCAGATAGGCCCGAAGATGAGCTCTGAGCCTTTGACTCGCTCTGAGCCTTTGACTCGCTCCGAGGTGTTTGGACAGCTCCGGAGGGAGCTCTATGGAGAGGAGCGGTCCAGTCATTCCAACACGCACATATTCATCGTCCTTGGAGCCTCTGTAAGTACAACCTGCACAATGTGTAAGACATGAATAGCCACTGTTTCCCTCTATTCCAATCCCTCGAACACAACTCAACAAAGGTCTGTAGCAATGTTCTGTGGCGTTACAGTGGAAAAGAATGTTTGAAAAGAGATTTTAAAGTGACAGTGGCCCGACAGAGCTGACGCAAAGAGAACAATTCACAGGGGAATATTGCACAGTGGTAATCGGAAAATAAAAGGCCGCGAAAGAGCACCTGTTGACGGAAATGTGCTGCATCTACTTTTTTCTTTGTCCAGCATTGAAGAAGGGGATCGATGTGGCGCAAAAGCATTTAGTCAGAGCGTTTTTACATGGAGCCCGGCACAAGTTCCAACGTCTATTTGTTTATATCTGTCGTTTGTTTAGCCCTCAATAGTTGAAAACAGTGATCTTTTTAGATTCTACCTGAGTCTCACAAACGGGGTGTGTCCAAAGTTCCTCCATTACGCAACAGATTCACCGACTCCACATTACCACTTGTGTTTATAGTTGACCTACTCTTTGGACTCTTGATTGATTCTTTTCAGCCAAAGTGATTATCAGTAAGAGTTCATGATCTGATCTCTTTTTTTTTTTATTTATATATTTTGCACAGGGGGATCTTGCAAAAAAAAAGATCTATCCAACTTTATGGTGAGTGAAGGATTGCTGCTCTAACACCAAGTACACACCCGGTGTCTTTAACGTTGTTTTCTCATTCTGTATTATGAGGAGTTGGACCTTTGGCCAGTGTCATGCATCGCTGCTTTTTGACTTTCCATTCTTCAGGTGGTTATTCAGAGATGGCCTGCTCCCAGATGACACCTACTTTGTTGGTTTTGCCCGGTCTAAGCTGACCGTGGAGGACATCAAGACAGCATGTCTGCCTCATATGAAGGTAGCATCCGTATTGGCTATCTGGGACAACATTGTTGATTGTTTGGGGTGTCTTTTCTGGAAACTGGAAACATTATTCTACATTTCCCTAAGGTCACTGATGAAGACATTGAGTGTCTCTCAGCCTTCTTCAGTAAGAACTCCTACCTGAGCGGCAGGTATGACGACGACGGCTCTTTTACTCAACTTGACTCTCATCTGTCGTCTCTGCCCGGGGGAGCTGATGCCAACAGACTCTTCTACCTGGCCCTGCCGCCCACCGTCTACCAGCATGTCAGCACAAACATCAGAACCCACTGCATGAGCCGCAAGTCGGTGTCTGTTATAGGAAGCAATGGTTTACTTGCTATTCGATCACATTACTCTAATCAGCTATATGTGTGTGAAACAGAGCCTGGAGCAGGGTAATTGTTGAGAAGCCCTTCGGCCGTGACCTCCAGAGCTCAGAGGAGCTGTCAGCCCACCTGTCTGCCCTGTTCACAGAGGACCAGATCTACCGCATAGACCACTACCTGGGCAAAGAAATGGTGCAGAACCTCATGGTGCTCAGGTAACAAGCTCTGTACATGCATTCTCAAGCACTTTTCCACCAGTAAAAACCTAAATGTCATAGAATTCTGGAGTACTCATTATTTCTTTCTTCCTGTGTCACTGGTTTTGAGGGTTTTATTTCAGATGTGTTTTATTCTCTCACAACCAGGTTTGGAAATCGCATCTTTGGACCCATATGGAACAGGAACAGTGTGGCCTGTGTGGTCCTCACCTTCAAAGAGCCTTTTGGCACTCAGGGCCGCGGAGGATACTTTGATGCCTTTGGTATCATTCGGTGAGAGACGGTACATTCAGATAAAAGTGAAATTAATGAGTACAATGTTTTTGTTACACTAGAGCCTTTACTTCCCCTGACTCCTCTTCATGTTTCTTAATGTAGAGATGTCATGCAGAACCATCTCCTTCAGATGCTCTGTCTGATCGCCATGGAGAAACCTGCTTCCACCAGCCCAGATGACGTGAGGGATGAGAAGGTAACACCAATGATTTTAATGTAAATAATAATTTGTGCATATGTTTGGTCTGAAATACCAGAGCGTCTACGTCATTGCAGTCCCGTAATTATTGTTGTGCTGCAGGTGAAGGTGTTGAAGTGTATAGCTCCTGTTGCTGGGTCAGATGTGGTGCTCGGCCAGTATGTGGGGGACCCTAAGGGGGAGGGCCACGCCAAGCTGGGTTACCTTGATGACCCGACCGTACCAGAAGGCTCCTGCACGCCGACTTTTGCCACGGCTGTGCTTTATGTCCGGAATGAAAGATGGGATGGTGAGGCAAAACAGTTCTTATCTTTTTTTTTTTTTTTTTTTTTTTTTTTTTTTTTTTTTTTTTTTTTTTACTCACTTGTCTTAGTCTGCACTGTGTGACATTCCCTCTGATGTTTTGCACCCTTCACCATCAACCGCCCTTCCACCAGGCGTACCTTTCATTCTCCGCTGCGGTAAAGCTTTGAATGAACAGAAGGCAGAAGTGCGCCTGCAGTTCACTGATGTACCAGGAGACATTTTTGGCGAACGCAGTCAGAGGAACGAGCTGGTGGTGCGGGTGCAGCCGGATGAAGCAATTTACCTGAAGATGATGACCAAGAGGCCTGGAGTTTACTTCAGCCCAGAGGAGACTGAGCTGGACCTCACCTACAGGAGCAGATACAAGGTGCTACTCTTAACTCAAAGCATCCGTTGTGGTCAATCATTCAGGTCCAACTTTCAATCTTAAAATCTATTTTTGTCTACTTAAGTGAAATCTCTTTGTGTCGTGATATTGTCACTCTACTCTTCATATAAGTTGGTTGCACTTTATTTGAATAGTCAAATGTTGATCGTCAACATACTATAATATTCTGTAACTTGAATGTCTATTCATTTGAGGTGATATTTGATAGTATTTGATTGATATTCAGTGTCTTACAGTAATATTGATAGTGTTAGAAGAAACTAAAAATAGGGTGGAGATGTAGCGATACACCAAACACATTGAAACAAGTTTGTCAAAAGTTGCAAGTTGGCCACCTAATGGTTGATGTCGTATAAAAGAATATATTACCATTTCCATCATATCCTATTCAGAGACAAACAGCTGGTGTTGTTTTAAAGAGAGTTGCAATACATTCTTGTTTCTTTAGCTCGAATTAAGAAAGATGACTGAACTTGAATCAAGCAGGTGTTTTTTTTTTTTTACATCTGCCATCTTCTTCTAGAACGTGAAGCTCCCAGATGCTTACGAGAGGCTGATACTGGATGTCTTCTGTGGAAATCAGATGCACTTTGTTCGCAGGTTGGTGGCATCATATACTGTTATCGTTTATTATAGGTATTTTATTTTAGTGTGGTGTTTTGTTTTTGACTTGGAGTGCTCTTCTTTCTGTTCCAGTGATGAGTTGCGGGAGGCCTGGAGGATTTTCACCCCCCTCCTCCACCAAATAGAGGGAGAGAAGACACACCCAATTCCTTACACATATGGAAGGTAAAACGTCTGTATTATGAAACCGAAATAAATACATGAATTTCCCTTTTAGTGATCTCATTCTCCTGTCTTTGCTTTGTCCGTCCACAGTCGTGGTCCAAACGAAGCGGATGACCTGGTGAAGAGGGTGGGATTCCGCTATGGGGGAACATACAAGTGGGTGAAGCCCCACACGGCATGATTCAGACACACATTCATGCACACACACAATCGACAAGTTTACAAACAATAACGTTTACTGCAATCTTTCACTGCTGTAAGTTGTTTTATATTGTCTGCATGTTGAAAAGATACCACTGCATTTTATCCCTGATCACACAATGTGGAAATCAGTAGTCTGATTTAAGTGTTCAACTGTAAATTTCTAAACTTCTAGTAAATCTAACATCATCTTCTGCTTGCACTTCTTCCCTTTTTAACATAATTGGCCATATGAGACTTATTTACACTTAGGGTCATTTCAATGTTAAGAGTATAAACCTGTTCTCTATCAGCAGGCCCGTGTTTACAGTCATCACCACACCATGATGACACTGAATGCCACATGCAATTTACACTAGGAGGGTTTGTTGGTCTGTAAGAACAGGTGACTCTGAATACATGTTTACTGTAAATGTCCTGCTTCAGGTGACAATGACAGGTGCTTTAAGCTAAATTCAAATCAAATTTGTAAATGCTTGTCAATTCCATTTGTATGTTGAATCTGTCACAATGCATGAATGCATTTTAACATTACAACTTAGATTTACTGTTAAATTTGATTTCTTTCAACTGCCTGCAGCAGAGTGATGCTATTTGTTGTCACCTATGTCTGCCTTTGTCAGGTACATGGCCTAGCTGGCGGCCTTCCAACTACAAACACAAATACATACACACTCTGACCAATAACACAGTATTTGGTCATCCTGCCAGTACTCAGAGGGCCGTGGGAAGTGCAGCAAAGACAGACATGTATTTAAGAGACTTCTCTTCTGTATCCCATAATAATATCATGATCTTACAGGTATGGTAAGTTATGTTTGGATCACACTAGAAAAACATAGGTCCTACTGCACAATTATTTATGTACAAGTTGTTGTTGCTCTTACTATGTTTCGAATGTACACTAATGTTGACAACAATAAAGCACAAAATGAGTCAGGTCAGTCTTTTTTATTGACTTCAGGTGTTTTTTTATCTTTTAACTTCTGTTGACATTCCCAGTGATTATATTCTGTGGAAGCTCAAGTGAAAATAAATAAAATTCCCAAACCAAAAATTGCATACAAACACTAAATACCCCCAAAAAAAATCTGCACTACAGATAAGTCATCATTTAACAAGTCTCTTAATAGTGTTTTAAGTAGAAGAGTTCAACAAGCACACACTCATTTAAGAACAAATACTTTTTTTTTCATTATTGCAATGAGAAAATATGTAAAAGTACCTGAAATATTAAGAACTCTTTGGCCATGACAGACTGCAAGGCTGTCTCAGTAAATTCACAAACTTGCCTAACATGTCCATTGTCACCTTTCCCTCACCATTCAAAATTTAGGTAAGACTTTGTGTAGGGTGTATCCGCTGTCACACTTGTCATTTTCTTCACCGCAGTTGTGCACGGCTGCTCCGTCCTCGATACCCCTGGCATACAGACGCACCAGCTGGCCGTGTATCCTGAGAGAAGTGAACGTGGTTAAAAACGTTGCTGCTGAGAAACAATCATCTTTGCCACCTGGCCACCATTTTGCTTTATTTTCTTTTGGTAAATGACTGGGATAATACAGTACCGTGTGAGAATACACTAAACAACACATGGATGCTTGAACTCTCTTACCTGCAGAGCATCTCTGTGGTGGGCAGAATCTCTCCGTCACAGTTCCACACTGACACAGCAGGATCTTTGCTGCAGCACAGACCACACAAGAAGGGGGTCGTTGTTTTCTGCTCATTTGTCATTTCTCGTCCTGTGCCTGTCTCTGCCAGGTTCACCTGAGATCCATTCCTGCTTACTGTCTCAATGTAGCCCGTCTCTTCATCTATCCCACCACTCGACCCTCCGATCTCTTCATATGCTTCTTTTTCGGGGGGGAGAGAGAAACGGACGGCCTTCACGCGATGCACCTCCACAAACGGCATGTCGAACTAAGAGAAGTGGCAGAGAACGGGTCAAGCCATGTTCAAGCTTGCTAGCCCAGCTTCGGTGTAATGTGAAAGTGCTCATACCTGGTCCTGTGTGCTGGTGTGTCTGTAGAGGAACTTGAGGAATCCCAGCGGGTGAGTGTCCCATACCAGGATGAGGTCCCCTGTTCCGTCTGCGAGGTGAGCAGAGGGGGAGAGGCCCAGAGGACTCTTGGGGCACGAGCTGGACATACAAGTGAGAGACACACACCTGAACCTGCCCTCCACACTCACCCACTCGCCTGGACAAACAGAAAGAGAGGCATGATGCTACATTTAAAAACAAATCCCTACTGTACATCACTGCTGATTCTTAAAGGACCTTACTGCTGTTTTCGCATGTTTTCGCCCATCATGCACACTTTACTAGATTTACTTTTCAGGCGAGCGCTGGTTTGAGTTGGCGTTGCTTTGATTGTTTGGTCATTGAACATATTTCTGTTCTTAATGGATACTGGATAATGTCACCTCTCCAGCCCTCTATAACTGTTTCAAATAAAACAATCTTGCAATTAGCTTCATTTGAAGAGTTAACGAGCCAAAAACGCTACTTTAAAGTGTACATGATTTCTGCTAAATGGGCTTAAATATACAAATGCAGGACTTTTATGTGTGTTTGTGTTATTACCTTCTGCGTCACTACTGAACTGGTTGAAGTGGGAGCTGTACAAGGAGCCTGGATCTGAAGAGTGGGAGAAAAGTCTTTCTGTGCTTCGGGAACACACACTGCACCTAAACATACACACACGCAACACAAATTATTACTCTGAAACAACAAGCTCCTTAACCTTGACACCCATTCATAAGAGCATTATAAACCTGGTGGATGCCTCAGACAAATACTGAGACAATGTAGACTCTAACAAGAGACAGAGGCTCACCTTTCCTCTAGATCAAGTTCCTCTTGCTATGGTTTCTACCCTCCTTAAGGTGCACCCAACACCTGAGTCCCTGCTGCAGGCGGTAGCAGTTAGTGTCTCAAGCAGTGAATTTGAACCATTTTACTGGTGCCTTAATGACACTTTCTCTCTTTCTCATTAAAGGGGTTTCAGGTGTACAAGGTTAAAGTCACTCTCGTCCTCACACAGCTTAGATAAGCGTGAGAACTCACAGAAAGGCTGGGAGCAAGATTAGAAACCAAAAAAATGTAACAGGCGTTCATCGTTTCTGGAAATGTACATGTTCTCATGGGCTTCTTTCTTTTCTTGTTGATGACACTTGCTATCCAGGAAGAGTCACTTCTAGGAGTTAAACAACTGGTACTTATGGAGAGATGCTACATAAAAACATCATTGTGGTGGTTTTGTTTACATAAAGTTTGTTTCACCTCACATAGCTCAGTCACAGTCACATAATAACAGAAACTAACACAATGGACAGTGATTCTCAATTCACACATAAAGTCACCTCTGTGATACAGGAAGAGAACAGAGAAAAAAACACATGCAAAAAGTAAATACTATACTTGACAAATAACATTAAAGTGTAAATAGATAACACTCCCACAATCCCAGATAGGGGTTGTGTAACAGTTGTAAGGTGTTAAAACACCTCCACATCACTAGAGTATAATCCGTTGTACACACTGTGATTTTCTTGCCTTTCCTTTTTTTTAAGTTTGCTTTGTATTATTTATTGCACTGTGTATACACCCTTCTTTGTGTTAGATCTTGTCAGTAGTGTGTGTTTTACCCTGAGAGGCAGCGTGTTCTATCTCTTGGGCTGGAGAGCAGCGGGTCTGCTGGTAGATACTGAACTATGCCTGCATAGCTTCTGTTGCTCAGGTACACCATAGTGCCTGGACAAAGAAGAGCAATATGGTTAGCAAAGAACACTTTGAAGAATATGCAGGGAATGTGGTTTTGTGACATGAAATGTTTTTTTAAAAAGAGCGTGTGCATCGCATGAAGTGCTTTCATCTTAGTCATAGCGCTATTAGTGACAGGTTCAGGGTGAATTTTTAACTTTAAGTGCAGAGAATACAACAGCATCGTATGTATCTCAGCGTGCAGTCATTTCTGTTCTCTAGATGAATCATCCGTCCACACCTGAATAGTCATATCGGAGAGGTCCCATCCAGCGGTGTTTTTCACTCTCCGCCAGTACGTCCCCGTAGAAGCCGTAACCCAACAGAGACACAGAGTAGCGCACCAGAGCAGAGGCATGATGCACTGAACACACATCCAAAGGCTGAGAGTCTCCTGCAAGGTATTGTGGGATACAAGAAGAACATACAAGCTTAACTATGGAGCTCGGAGTTTGGTATTTTTAAGAATTACATTGTTTTTCAAAAGAGTGAATTATTCAAATAAAAATCCTCACCAATGATGATGTGCAAAGCTGAAGTAACAGGGTCGATCACTCCAACTGTGGCATAGCACACACAGTCTGTAGAGCCTGCATTAGATACATTAGAAGAGGATGAATGTGCCACTGCTCTAACTCCATTCGTTCATGAATTCCTAACAACTGTGTCCTTACCTGCAGGGATGATGCCAATATGGAGCGGACAAGGCTGTAAATTGACCGTGGGATCATGCTCACAAAGGCCTGCCTCTTGTTGTGTCCGCCCAATCAAACCGTGAAGTATTTCGCTGAACATGCCATCCCCACCCACACACACCACACTGTTATAAACAAACACAAGAGTTCTGTTGTGAGAGCGCCTCCCAGAGAGCTTAGCTGTTATAATGCTCTCACACCACAGTGTTTACGCTGTGGTGCTGATGGTTCTTACCCGTCAAAGCCTGTCAGGTCTTTCTTCAGGAGGTGGTCTCTGGCCTGGTTGGCCTGCTCAGTCACTGAAAGAGAAATGTTATAATAACATAGGCTGCAAGTCACTTTCATTCATTATTTCTTAAATGAAGTTAAGGCTAACTATGAGTCACAATTGTGTTGTCCCTTACCTATTACATGAGAGCTGATACCAGCTAGCTCAAACAGAGGGGCCACCAGAGAATGGTAGATCTTTCTTCCTTTCTTCTTCCCTCCAAATGGGTTGATAAATACCAACAGCCTCTTTGGACGCAGCGGACCTGAAACATATATTTGGAATATTACAGATTGTTGCGAGCCATGTGGACTCTGAGGGAATTGAAAAAAAAACATTATCTAATCATCCATCCATACTGTGAGTTTTTAGAGCCGTTCTTAGGTGTTTTGTCCACTGGTCTCTGAGCACCCGACTGAGGCAGCTGAACTGGGTCCGGCCCAGTCTCCACAGTAACCCATAAGAGCTCCCACTGCTGCTGCGCTTCACGTAGAAAACTGGAGGTAAATGACAGATAAGGGAAACAAAACCATACTGTAAAAGCACCATATCAGGCATACGTTTGACTAAACTGTAAAGCTAGTGTGCTGTGCGCTTGTATGCAAATTACACATGTTCTCACATAGTTTTAAGCGCAATGGCAAAAGATGTGTAATGTTTCAGACTGTTCAGCATTGACTGTGGCCTTGGTATTTGTGATACCCGGGAGTCTCGCACATGAACCCACCTGTGAAGTCTTTATCTGTGTCCTCGACGGACTTCTGGGGCAGGATCTCCACGCGGCCCTCCTCCACTCCAATCACCTCAGCCACAGGTACTGAAACTTTAATCACAGAGACACATACACACATTAACCTCATGTGGACATGCTTCTTTGAATACAATGTATGGGGTATTTTAATCACTGGAGAGACCTTCCTCACAGCTGATTGTTTTATGTGTCATAGCAGATGTCAAGGCATCCCAATTGGCTGCTCCGATGCAAAGACTCTTATGGGCCTTTTTGTCACGTGACATTAGGAAAAGCACAGTTGTCACTAGTAACATTAATGATGACTGTTTTCCATCCAGCTGCTTCAGTTTCAGGGTTCTGATATTGTGCATGCTGACTCACTGGCACACCTATAAAGAGCGTCGTCATCATCCATATCATTAGTTACACTTCTTGATAATAATTGGGTTATAAACGACAGTTTGGAGCCTATGTTTTACACTTTGACTGTGTAAGAGAGATGAGGATGATGCAGCTTGTTTGGAGCGTGAATATTTTTTAAATCAATTAAATTCAATGTAGCTTTAGTGGCATGAACGTTTTTTAAAAAACAATGTTGTCAAAGCATCAAATTAAAAATAAAAAGTACGCCATAATATTAATATGAACACAACATCAACGTAACATTGTAATTGTTATTTAATAATGTATATACAGTGGTAGTTATTTTCAACACATGTCAGTATGTGTTTAAAAGGTGACACAAGTGTGTTGTCTTAAAGAAAACACTTTAAAAATGCCTTTAAAAACTGAAATCCCTTTGTTTTCTGTGCAGCAACAACAGATTCCAGAGTGAAGTTCTCTCTGTGTTGTGTGTGTGACAGCATGTGGAGCAGAGGCATTTTGGTGTTGAGAAAATATGCTCGGAAGTGTGTGAGTACTCGACAATCAGTACTTTAGTCAAGTGTCTCAGCTAGTCGTGTTTCATGTTAGTGCTGTTTAACTTGTTTTTCACGTTTTCTGGTAGAAGCTATGGGATTAATTAAACCCTCCCTTTTCCAAATGACAACGCATATTGTTATGTTCGTGTTGTTCCCCAGGCTACTTCTACAAAATACATACTGTTTGTTTTACCATCATCAAGTTATGCCAGTTCCGTGCAGACAGGAAACAGGTTATGGCTTTTAACAAGTGTTAAACAGCAACAACGCTACTGCTGAGGCATTCCCCTGAGTGTGCGTAAAAGCCTTATTATTATATTCAGATATTATTTTTAAACAAGACCACGGGCCTCTATAGCGCGATGTTATAGATCGACTGATGCTTTGGAGACCAAAGAGACACCTACTTGTTTTCTTGCCGCTATTCTTCTTATCTACCTCGGTCCAGTTGAAATGCCAGCCCGTCAGGACCGCCTGGTATCTTTTATTCCCGACCCACAAACTTGACTCCAGCCTCAGATCTGTCTCCTCCATCTGGGAAAGCGCTTTTCATCCACAGCGTCGCTCTTTCACAGTTTCACAGAAAACTCTAACAATCACATTTAACAGTCGTAACTTTTGCATCTCTGAGTAGGAGCAGCAGGTTGACGATCTGCTCTCGCCGTCATTCAACAACAGGTGTCTGAAACGAGAACTTTTTCATCTTCCTCTGAATTAATCCGAAGATGTTTTTTTTTTTTGTTTTTTTTTCAAGACACGTTTAGGATATGAGTCCTGTCAAATGTTGACGACGCCGCCTGTCACACGGGTGTTATTCTAAAAATATGCGTTTCCTCTTCGATCCCTCCCCGGTGACACCTGCTCGATTTGCATGTGGCACTGCCGATTGGATGCCAGTCAACGTTACTGAAGTATGAACAAGATGAACAAGTTTCCAGTTATTGTGAGTGTTTATAGAAGTTGGCTATTTTTTACAGCAATATAAGTAATTTTATGGTTGAAAGAAGGATTGAATCTGGTTACAGTAAATTCTATTTAATTAGTAATTATTAGTAAAAGTATTATTATTATACCTTTGAGCAGTTTACTGGACAAGCAGGTAAAACTAATGATTCAGTTGTTTCTCAATTTAGCAATTATAAAGCTAAAAGATGTGTTATAAAAGTGTCCACTTGACATTCAATCAGTAAGTGAAAAATATAGAAACAAGACAAACAAGAAAATAATCCCTCAAATTTCCATCAAGTAGGCTACAGACTACTAAACAAATTCAGATGGCAGCTTCATTATAGGCCTATAGAGACCGGTGCCTTCATGCTGAAATAAATGTAAATTAAGAACCCAAGACTCCAACAGGGCCACAAGACCAGGTTAAAATGTGACCCATTTAGTTGATATTTGTACTTTTGTGGTGCACAGCACACAATGCAGCTGGGGTTTTGGGGGGCCCCGGGGGTCTGGGGCCCCACACAGTGATCCGCTTTGCCTGTTTGGTAATCCAGCCTTGCTATGCTAGTTTGACGCTTCCTTTAAATGTATGTAAAGTGTACGACTATAATACACATTGTAATAACCGGATTCTAATAGACGTGAGCGAATTCTTCAAAATAAAACTGATTTATGCCATGTTTTCGTGCCTCAAGCAAATGGTAATACTTTTATTGTGAAGTCCCAGCGCACACTGTGACCGGAAATGACTGGCCTTATTGTGGCACGCTCCTTCCTCCACTCCCCTCCCTTCCTTGCTAGCAAGTCGAGTTAGCTCGTTAGCGAGACAAGCTCTTTAAACTACTTGTAGTGCGATTATTATGAATTGATTGACCCTCGTGACGTTAGTTTATTTTATTTCTGTCTCCACAGTCCAGATAACAAGCAAACTAACAAAATGAACATCCGAAACGCGAGGGTAAGTGTGCTGAAACCCGTTCGACAGCCATGCTGTTTCTAATAACTATGCTAGCTAAGCTCGCATAGTTATTGCAGCCTGCCCGCTAGCGGTCCAAATATCGCCTACTACGGGCTAAGCATTGTGTCATGCATCTTTCTGACTGTGTTTTTTCCAGCCGGAGGACCTTATGAATATGCAGCACTGCAACCTGCTGTGTCTTCCAGAAAATTACCAGATGAAATACTATTTCTATCACGGATTGTCCTGGCCGCAGGTGATTCACTGTGCAGTTTCCCCTGTTTCTGCTAACACTGCTGCTCCCATGATCTAAAACCTGACAGTGTTTACGTTTGACCCTCGTTTTCTTTTCCTTTTATCCTTTCAGCTCTCATACATTGCAGAGGACGAAAATGGCAAAATTGTGGGTTATGTGCTGGCAAAGATGTGAGTCTGTGAATCTGTGACAATATATATATTTTATTTGACACCAGTTACACAAAGGAGATGTTTTATATGTTCCAAAATACCTTTCTGGACTCTAGGGAGGAGGACCCTGATGATGTACCCCATGGACACATCACTTCTCTGGTGAGTCTGAACGGGAGACACCCCGTCTCCTCCATACATCTCCTCCAATCTTTATATTACATGTTTTATAGTACTGAGATGTTTGGCTGGTTTCTCGAGGGCAACAAAACCCTTATCTTTGTCTTCCAGGCCGTGAAGCGCTCTCACAGACGTCTTGGTCTGGCCCAGAAGCTGATGGATCAGGCCAGCCGGGCCATGATAGAAAACTTCAACGCAAAATATGTCTCACTTCATGTTCGCAAAAGGTAAAGTCCACTGTTGCTCGCTGTGGACTTGGTTTCTCTTTGTTCTGTTGGGATGCATTATTGTCTGGGTTGTCCTTTTTCCAAAACGTTTAAGCTCTGACTGCGTGTGTGTTTGTGTAACCGTGTTCTCAAAGAACGTACCAATCTTTTCTCCCCACTGCAGCAACCGAGCAGCCTTGCACCTGTACTCAAACACACTGAAATTCCAGTAAGTTTCTTTCTGTGCCAACATTATATTAGTGTTTTAATTGTAAGGTACAGAACGTACTCTTGTGATTTTATTACACAGTCGGTATGACCATAGCCCGGCTCAGGTCATGGGTAGAGCTAGCCAATGAAGCAGTCTGATATTAGCTTATTCTCAGTCCATGAGAATATATGATCAAGAATCTTATCTTTCTTTTATTTAACACGGATAACAACAATTTGTTTTGCTCAGTGTGCCCCTTTTCTTTCGTTCTGACTACATTTTCATTTTGCAGCTGCCAGCACCACCCACTCTGCAGTACACACAGTGTGGAAAGCTTTTTCTTTTCCTCATTCATATTATCAGGCTCATTTAGGAACGGTCTTGTCTTGAAGACCTTCAGATATTTTTGTAAAATTACTTTCTTCATGCCGATCAAACATTTTTCTTTTACAAAATCAACCTTCATGGATTCTTTTCAGCAATGTCGTATTGTCCTCACAAATCCATTATCGGTAGGGCCGTAGTCGTGAGCTCAAGTCCCCCCCCCCCCCCCCCAACAGCTCCAGACACCAAAACCCAAGTCTCTAAATTGTTTCATTTATTTGGACTTATCTCTTGTTTATTAAGCTAAACTGTTGTTGAAATATATTTTCTGTCAATTTAGTTCTCAACATAAAGTTTTCAAAACTCTCAACAATGCCAGGAATTACAATTCTGTTGTGAAAACAAGCGGCCCTCATTCATTTATTTATGACTAAAATTAGTAACGTTTGAACATGTTGCATCCTGAGCCCGGGCTTTATATGTATTTGTTGTGACTGCAACCAATTTGATACATTGTTGTTCCTCCCCAGGATTAGTGAGATAGAGCCCAAATACTATGCAGATGGGGAGGATGCCTACGCCATGAAGAGAGACCTGGCCCACCTGGTTGATGAAGTGACTTTATTTTCTACACTGACCTGATTTTCACAAGCTCCTTGTAACCTCGGGACCACGAGCAGATTCTAACTATCAATGTGTTCTGTTTTTCGTCTACATGCGCCGAAGCTGAGAAAGCCCGGAGTGCGTGTGACGGGGCAGGAGGCTCCGTCTGGCCAGAACCCGTCAGGATCTGTTGACCAGGAGAGGGAGAACGAGAGAGACAGCGGAGGAGAGAGCAAGGAGCTGAGTGAAGTCAGCGAGGCGACAGAAAGCACAGACGTTAAAGATTCTTCTTCTGATTCACAATGACGCTGCAGTCCTAGACATTTTTAAATTCATCCTTAGCTTCCTCTTTTTATCCCTATTTGACAATATTTCTGGCTTTACAAACTGTGACTATCTGTGCGTCAAAGCCTTTCCCACATTTCCATCACTGTTTTTTCCTTAAAACTTGCTTTCCACTGCAGTGATGAACAAAACGTCTTGGATAATGACATCGGGGTGTTACCTAAATGAAACTAAAATGAATAACTGGTCTAACTGTTTTTATTGGATTGCTGTTGTCATTACCAAAAGTCACACAAAGATCTGTGAGATTTAGCGAATTTAAAACAATTTGTGCTTTTCAAGTTGTCTCAATCTGGTCTCTTAATTATTTAACAGAATTACTGCAAATAAATCTTTCAAATAATATTTCGGTATCACACTTGTTTCAATAAGTGATCATAAAGGCAGCTTAGTTGATTACTTCAAGTGGGTCAATAAAACATCTGAATATATTTAGTTAATACAACGCTAATTGTAAAGTGAGGAGCTTACTGATGAATTCACACTGCCACCAATATTACCTCTGCTGGGCACAATCATAGGAGGTATACATGATCCATAGTTAAGGTTTCCATTGATGGTGAAAAAGCTGTGTGTGAGCGAGAGTGTGTGTGTGTGTGTGTGTGTGTGTGTGTGTGTGTGTGTGAGAGAGACTATTTCCAACTTTGAGACTCCTGGTGGCGGCATCAAACAAAGACACCGTGGCAGACGGTAACTCCACACAACCCGGTCTCCTATACAATTCCTATAAAACTAAACTGCACTCTTAATTATGTTTTGAGTGAAACGTATTTTCTCCCAGATTACGGAACATGTGGTTAATGTTGTAAATTAAAACAAAACAAAAAAATGTTACACAACTACTTGGTTAGGTTTAGCAATGAAACCTCATGGTTTGGCTTAAGATGGCTGCAAAGGTGAAACAAAATTTAAACTTATCCGTTTTTTAAAAGCAACACTGCACAAGTTTTAAACCGGGTTGTAGCATTTTTCTAAAAACAAAACATGCCATGATGATAAAAATAGTGCTGCATAATAATAGGGGGTTTAAGATAACTAAAAACATGCTACAGACTTATGTTGAAAGACTACAATGAATGTGACCTCCAAACTCAAACCCTCCTTTACAGCTCAGCTAAAAGATGCTGTGGGAATTCTTCAGTGTAAACTGGTGTTTCAAGGCTCTAAGTTAGCGAAGGCTTTAAACTGAACTGTAATACATTCAAACAATGTATATTAGATACGGACTAGAAACTTCCTCAAATAAAACCAAGCTGGCCAAGCTATGTCAAGTTGTTTTTAAAGCATCATCATCCTATCATCATGTCTGTTAGAGGAAGGAAACAGGAGTGAGAGAGAAGTACATAAGAGATAACATCAAAAAAAACTTTCAGTAAGTTTTGCTGTTTGTCACTAATTGGAAATAGTTAACTTTCAACTCATTTAATTTTGCATAGCTAAAAATCATAAATTTGCCTCAGAGGGCTTTATGATCTGTACAAAATAGGGTCCACACTTTCACACCTTCATGGTATTTTCACAGTTTTCAGAAAGAGGTGAGAGGAAACAATGCTGCTGCTCTTCAAAACAAGTCTGGATGTTTGCGTTATCGTTTAATAGCATCCGTGGTTTCTTTTTCTTTTCTTTTTTACCAGCAGTGCACATGTGATGAAGTTTATTGGGGCCTTTCTCTGAAGTTATAATCCATTTTAGCAACTGTTTTACTTGACATGAGGTGTTTCCACGGTTAGCCTGCTCACCATACATTACTCAGAAACTGTGGTCATACAGTCTTATGCTAAGAATACCCCATAGTCTTCAAAAGTTTGTTTACCCCCAACTGAAGAATATAGCAGCTGATTTCACTTAGTAGCCTGTGAATAACTGGGGGACTAATCAGGGAAAACAGCTGATGTTTGATTGGATTCAAAAACCTGCTGTGGAGTTCCAGTGGCAGCATGAAAGAGAGACTTGAAAAGGTTTTCAGCCCTCGTCACACTTGCACAATCACACACTGACTCCTTAAACTGAACGTGTGAGTGAAATGAGTGTTGAGAAAGAGAGAGTGGTAGAGCAGAGAGAGAGAGAGAGAGAGAGAGAGAGAGAGAGAGAGAGAGAGAGAGAGAGAGAGAGAGAGGGAGATGAGTTCCACCCCACCCACATCCATCCGTGTCCAATGTGAGGGGGAGGTGAAACAGTTGAGAGCTTACTGCGCGGTCTGGAGAAGAGACTAGTCAAGACTGCTCCCCACCAGGTAGGACTTTTGTTTTTTGGATGGATTAAACTTTTATTGATTTTCATTTACTGACCTGTCTCATCAGAAGAAGACAGGTTGCCAGTTTAGTTATAATAAACACATGTTTGTACAGCAAAGTAAGTGCTGTTATGAAGATTTGTTCAACACAGCCCTCAGGCCGTTAACGTCTCATAGCTCAGGCAGCATCTATATGTTGGTACTTGTTAGAACCCAGAGTGAAACACCCAGAATTACAAGAACGACAACCGAACAACCAGAATCTGTAAGGTTAAGACTATCTTTCATTAAGTAGTCCAACAGTTTGTGACGACAGAAGGTGGTGATTCACTGCTGATCACACAGTGAAAGAATGAAAAGGGCTAATGGAAAAGGGTGATAGGTTGGAAAAATGAGACACTCCTTTTCAACAAGGACTTTTGTGTTTGCTTTAACAGCAGACTGATTTTAGGAGGTCAGTTGATCATTTTCTCTGTTAGAAAGGAGTGCAGAGAACACAGTTCAGCCAAAGAGAATGCTGATGAGTGATGTTTGGCTTTTGAAAAAAAGGGAAGTCAGGGGGGGTTAAGAAGAGTGTGTGTGATGGCTGTGTACAAAGAGTTATGGTCCAGCAAAAATAACACCCAACTCTTCCCCTTTCTGGTGTGTGGTAAATGTTGTCCTAATAGTTGATATCTTGCAGTTATCAGAGGCTAAATTGTTGATTCTCAATCTATCAAAGGCCTTTTAGATGATCATACGTTTAAATTACTGTCATGCATTGTAGATACCAAAGCCAAAGTTTCTCAAATACATGTTTTTCAGTGAAGACTTCATTTTTATGTTTATCTGGTGGCCTAAAGTCTGTCGTATACACAAACCCAAATTCTTAGCCTAAACTGTAATAAACTTTTCTGTAAAGATTCTCAGTCATCCAATTGGTAAGATATCTAGAAATGGTTGTTCTAGTTGTTTTGTTCGAAGAAATGCAGGATACCAAGTCTGCATCAGTAAACTTGAGTATCATTGGTAAAACCATCTGTAGTTTTTGAGAACAAATATCTCTACATATTTTACGCCTTGTGGTTCATCCTATTTTTAGGACTGCTGAGATGTTGCTAGAGCTGTTTTTGCACCTCATGCAATTCTGCAGCATGACCGGTGCTGCAGGCAACACATGCCAACTGGTTTTCTAGTTGGTTGCCTGCAGAGCATTGCAGTGGGTGACCAGTTTGAAGAGATGTGTTACAGTAAGATGAACATGCTCTTTTCTCTCTTTCTGTTGCAGCAGGAAGTTGGCATGGTCTGTGGGGGGTTCAGCACTTGAGAGTGTGAAAGTTTGTAGAGTAGCATGCTTGGGTGCAGCAGCCGTTCATAGGCCTTGATTCTTTAAAAAGACTTTGTCCAGCGAAGAAGATCAGAATAGCTTGCATGCCCACAAAGAACGCTGCGATTCTGCAATGGAGGTAAAAAAAAAAGGAACAGAACAACTATTTTATACTGCTAATAAAATATTCACTTCCTTTATCCAGAATTCCACCCAGTTGGAGCAACAATGACTTCCCATGTGAAACTCCGGAAGGAGAGGGTCGGTATGGTGGACTACGACACTCAAATCAAAGGTGAAATAATGACTTTTATCTGCACTGCTGTCCCTCTTAACACACCCCATCGTCACTGTGACTGTGAATTCAGTTTGTCACCCACAGCAAGAGTTTCAGAATGAGTCGCATTCTCTCGTATGTTTGTTTCTCTTTGCCTGATCGGTTGTTCTTTTGCCCGTTCTTTCTTTCGCTTGCAGAGGTGCGTAGCCAGCTTGTAGATCAGTTGAAGGTGTTAGACTTGCAACTTGAGCAGAAGAGCCAGCAGCTGCAGGATCTGACAGATTACCTGCGTCGGCGGGGTGAGATTGAAAGCGAGTATGCCCGCTCCCTTGAAAAACTCGCTGAAAGGTTCACTTCCAGGATCAAGAGGTAAAGATGATCCTTAGCACATAATGTAACACATTAGTTAGCAGTTCATCTGATGATGCTGTTGTGAAGTATTTTTGGTTGTACCTGACACACTGTCTTTGTGTCGTACTTTCCTCCTTCACATGCTCAGGAAGGAGCCCAGTAGTCACTCAGTGTCCCAGGTCTGGCTGGCTCTGCTGTCCCAGACCCGCCAAGAAAGTAGGGACCACAGTGGACTGAGCGAGCGCTGCAGCAACTTCCTCATCCAGCCCCTCACACACTGCCTGGAGTACACACAGCGCCTTGCCAAGAAGGTACTGATATGAGCACTGGCACCACCAAACACAAACAGTCTTTCATTATGGGACAAGTCTGTGTATGTACAAGGCAATTGCCTGACTGGTTTGCTACAACTTTAAATTCTTTGACTCTCACTCTTGACATTACAAATATATTTTGTTGCTCTCCGTGTTGTTCCATCTCTTTGTGGTATTTTGTCTCTACACCAGAGTAAAGACATCTGTACTCAGCTACAAGATGGACTGCTCAAGGTTACCACAGAGCTTCAGACTGTAAGTGAGAACCAATCACCCAAAACCTTTTCTGTTTCCTAACCAAATCGAGGAAAGCATAGCTGTATGCGTCTGTGTGCAGGCATGGCGGACGTACTTCCAATACCACTCGGACTACGTGTGTGCAGAGGGGAAGCTGAAGGAGGCGGAGGAAAAGCAGAAGCAGAGTGCTGCTAAGAAGCTGGAGAGGTTGATAGAAAAAGTAAATGGACTTCTATAGACATGTATGCACATTATACTGCATAAAAGGTATGTCGCCTCCTTTTTGATAATTGTTTATTTCCCATAGAGACAAGGTAAAGTCCAAGACATCGACTTGAAGTGCAGCAAGGCCCGAAACGATTACCTCCTAAACTTGGCTGCCGCCAATGCCTCCATGAATAAGTACTACCTCAAAGACATCTCGACTCTCATAGATGTGAGTGCATCATCTGGTTTGAGTTTTTTTTTAAATGCTGTCCTTTTTTTATCATGCCCCATTGGGCCAATCATCAAACTTTCAAAACATTTGAGCATAGTATGACTTAAGATCAGATATCACTTTAAAAAAAAATCATGTTTAAGGATGTGATCTTGATCCCCCAAGCACCTCAATTACAAACGTGAAGTTGAATTGTTTCCCTCAGTGTGCAGATGTAGGGTACCACCTCTCTTTAGGTCGGGTGATGCAAGCGTACCTGTCCAGTCGGTGGCGGACCCAGGAGAACCTGAGCACGGGGCTGCAGCAGCTCCAAGGCACCGTGTCCGGACTGGACCAGAGCCATGACAGAGACACCCTCCTAAAGGACCATTATAACACCTTCTGTATGCCCCTTCGCTTCCCCTATCAGCCCCATGATGGAGACCAGGTCTGTATTTTGTTTGTCAGTATTAAGTGGATTACTGTTCAACTCTAAACTTTCGTGTGTCTCTCAGGTTTCTGAGGTGAGCGCAGAGGGTGAGATGAGGTGCGAGCTGGAGACCAGATTCAAACAGATACAAACCAGACTTAAAGCTGTTACACACGAAACAGAGGAGGTAGAGTACATCACACAACCCGAAGCGCCTCTTTATCACCTTTTTTAGTGGGTCTACTGGATACACCAGTGTTAACATTTCACCACGCCAGAGTCCAGGGCAGAGTTCAATCGCAGCTCTTTTGCTTGCTTCCTAAATCTTTATTTCATTGTAACAAAGAGTAGATGAGTTTCAGTAAATCCAACTTATTTTGTGTCAATGAAACATTTTCTATAGAAATGTCATCACTCGCTCAATCAACAGGCACTTGAATGCAAGAAAGATTTGCACACCATCACCATAATGCTTATTTTTACCAGTGCCAGGACATTAAATAACTCTATTAGAATGACTAGAACTGCGTGCCATATTGCCAATGCGTAATATTCCCATGTTATCTCTGCTACTGTCACACAGGCTAGTAAGAGCATGTTGGCGTCCCAGTGTTCCCTGCTGGAGAGTATCGGAGATAATGATCTGGAGCTCGGCAGTGCGTCATCTCAGCAGGGCAGCACAGAGAACCTGACAGTCAAGCCCAGCGTGGCCCGTCGCAGGGCCAACGTCCAGGAAATAGAAAACCTCTACTTCACTGTGAGTCAGTTTGTTAAGTTATAAACCAGAATAGCTTGCTGTTTTGGGAGGTTGTAATCGTATGCAGCTGTGGATATGCAGACACTTTATTTTTAATTGTAGGGTTTTGGTTGACGATGATCAGTGAATGATGGTGACAGCATGATAATGACTTTAAATCACATCTGATTTGTTTTTACAGAAGGTAAAAGAGCAACTCATAGGCAGCTCCCTGGTATCTAAACTGCAAGCAAAACACGACCAGCTGAAAGGGGCTGTCGAAAAAGGTATCAGTTCTGCATTTCACACAAAACAATGCTGAAAGGCAAATTGCTGACCCGAAGTGTTCTGTGAATACAGTTGGTGCATTTCTCCTTACTGGTTGCTTCTTTTTTTTTTCTGCTAGCAGAAGCATCAAATGGACATCAGCCTAGGTACATATATGAATGTTTTAAGTGGTCTTAAAGTGTCTTTGTTTAGTTGTGAAAAATGTTGTATACTTTTAGAAACATTGTATATATTCTACAATTGTAACAGAATGAAGCTCACATTATGGCATCTGGCTTTGCAGACATAATGGAAAGTCAATGCGTGTCAGGAAAAATCACTCAAGTGCCAGTTTGATGCACAACCACAAACTTTTCAGTGGAGACATGCTGTCCTTCATACAGGTCAGCATTTCTCTCTCGACATTTTTCCAGCAAATCGGTTATCAGTAAAGTATTAGACTTGAAGTTTGTGACATTAATCACTAAATTTGCTCCATTCAGGCATCACGACAACAGATTCCAATTGTTGTGGAAAGTTGCATTTGCTTTATCAACCTTAACGGTAAGTATTCAAGACTGAAGGAACGATAAAATGGGAGCTTTTGCATGTCTAATGCAAAAATGTATTTAAGACATGACAAAACGAGCGCAAATTTGCAATGGGCTGCGACCACATAAAACTGTGGCCGCCAAATAGTGGGGAGTCTTTTGTGGACTGACAGACCGAGTAAGCTATAGAGCTGCTTGTCGTAGCTAAAAATAACAGTTAGAATTGTGTACCCTTAGAAAACTCCCAGTTCTAGAGCCCCCAGTGAATATATTAAAAAGCCATTGAATGGGCTTCAAGCAACACATAGAGTGCAGCACTATATTTATAATATTTACCTTCATTATCCCATTCTTCTACAGACAAGATACTTGTTTTACTTTCTGTTTTTTACACATGATGACTAAATATATGTTTGCATTGGATCTACTCTCACTGCTTTAGAGCACTTATCTATTTGTCCATCAGGTCTCCACCATGAAGGGATATTTAGAGTTCCGGGGTCTCAGATGGAGGTCAACAACCTGAGGGATGCATTTGAGCGAGGTATACCTATATGTTTTTGTGTGTGTTGGCATGACCCTTCTGTTTCTTTTTTCTAAAATGTAGATTGGCTCCTCTCACTGTGGCGCATTAATAATGTGGGGCAGTGTGCTGTGCGCTTCTCCTGCAGGAGAGGACCCCCTGGCTGAGGGGAGATATGACCTGGACTCTGTTGCTGGAGTGCTGAAGCTCTACTTCAGAAGTCTGGAGAATCCCCTCTTCCCCATCGACAGCACCAGCCAACTCCTGGAGCATGTCCGTGAGTGTGTGGGTGTATGTATTTTAAATGTCTGAGTGTGGCCGAGAGCGCACGGCAGGAGCTTACTTTCTTTCAACACATTTTCTCAGAAATAATGAACGAGGCAGAGAGAGCAGCTCAGCTCAAAATGGTCATCTCTTCCTACCCTGAGCCCGTCATCATCGTCATGAGATACCTCTTTGCATTCCTTCAACAGTGAGTATTGCAACTCATCACAGTCATCACCATTCAGGATATGATGCATCTAAAGAAAAAAGAATTGCGTCACAGGATGTTAATTTCCAGGAAGAGAAAGGACCAAATATTTGTACCTGTTGGCTGATGTCCTAGTTCATCTGACAGAAGTGTGGTGGATTAGGGTGGTTTCACATCATACATTTATAAGAGCAGCACATTTTTCCACACGACAAACTGGATTGGGGACTTTTAATTTAGATGGGTTGAGGTAAAGTTTTGATATTGTCTTTTGTAAACACGTGTGTATTTGATGAATGCAAAAAACAAATTTTAGTTTGGTCTCAACTTTTATTCTTTCGGACCCCCCCCCCCTCTCTTCTTCATGGTAGAATTTAATTTGTGTCTCTGCTCCCTGCCTCTAGTGTGTCTCAGTACAGTGACGAGAACATGATGCAGCCTTACAACCTGGCTGTGTGTTTTGGCCCCAGCCTGGTAAGGGGGGCTGACGATGACGACGTCGTCACCCTGCAGCCTCAGATCAACGCCCTGGTGAAGAGCATCATCCTCCAGCACGAAAGCATCTTCCCCAGTCAGAGCGAAGTACAAGGACCGGTGTACGAGAAATGCATGACTCTGGAACAGGATGACTGGTAAGAGGAAAAAGATGTCCATACACATAACAAGGATACAATGTATGGTGGAACGATTATCTCACGATGTTATTCTTCACAGTGAGCCTATCATTGACGAAGGAGATGTAGAAGCGGAGTACAAAGATGGTAGGTGTTATGTGCCTATCTTCTCTAAGGCTGTGATGGTGTTTCTGAATAGAATAACATAATGTGATGTACTACAGAGTTGCAAGCAGGATCCTCAGCTGACTTCAACACCAGCTCGTCTGCAGCATCAACGCAGAGAGAAGCAGAACGTCCAAGAGCCAACAGCAGCGGTTCAATTGACCAAAGCAGGTTGACAGCTGGACTCGTTACTTCAAGTGGAAAGTTAATGCTCCAGATACCCGTTGGACCACAGTGCAAGCCACGGCGAGGCCACTCTCCTGCCTATGTGCGCCGAGAGTGAGTAGCACTGGATGTTGCAGGATTCCAACCGACTTATGTTTGAGTGAGAAATTAATATTCAATGTCTTCTGATCTCTTCTTCTCCATACAGATGTCGGGAACGCTCATCTTGTGAGGATATTGTCGTTAAAGTAGACAAGGTCTGTCTTGTTTCTCATGTCAAATGACTGGTTTCACTATGTGATAAGGCTCTGTTATTAAGGGTTTGTAAGATGTAAATAATGGCTTCAAAAAGAGTACATGCATAATTTACCACTGCTTTATATTAATAAAAGGGTTCATGATTTTTAAATGGGTGTTCTACAACTTATCGTTGTGAACTCAGTCTTTGAAGGATTTTTATAACAAACGGTCAAGTCTGTAGTTGTAAATGTTGTAATCTAACAATTACAAATGAATGGATTTTTCTTTAAATGTTATGCAGCACTTTTCCAGATGGCAAGAGGGACAAATCAAGCACTAGCCTATAACCGATTTATATTTTTTCATACTTATTATTAAGTGATTAGTTATAACTAAAACACCCTTTTATAAATTGTCTTGTTAGAAAGCAGCAGCATATCACCAAGGGTTTCATGACAATAGTATGTTATGGTTTATGTGCATACTTAACATCTTAAAGGGAGACCAGAGAACAAAGAGTTTTGTCTCTTTCCTCTCTCATCGCTGTCATTGTTTATTTCATCTCATAGGAGGTTTGTCGCCAGATGGACTCTGTCTTCATGGAGCTTCTCTCGCGGCAAGCACTGCAGGATCCCTCCTCCACCGCCTCCTCTCCCTCTGCCCAAGCTCCCCAAAGGAAAGGGAAGCGGGATGGACGTAGGTGAAGAGAAGCGGGGCTCTTTAGAGCAGCAGATCCACTGGAATGAGAGGACTGGCATCAGTAGATGAACTGAAAAGAGAGCGATTAAACAACTTAAATGGAGGTGCTCTGACGGTAGCTTTCAGCACATCTATTTCTAGAAAAGTAAAACTACTGAACCATGGTCACTTCTCTGAGGGGCTTGAGATTGGTCTGGGCTCCCCACTCAGACCTCCGCATTTATGTTTCATACGGCAGAACTCTGCAGTGACTGCAGACCTCCAGTACAATGTGCAAAGTGTGGATTACTTGAAATGCACAGATGTGTTTGTGTGCAGCTGAATGTGGTTGGGCAGCTTATGGCTTTATGTCTGCATCTGTGTGTTGATATTCAACTGTTTCCACTTTAAATCAAATGTGTTTACCAACATTAGATGGGCTTGCATAGTTGCTAAAACTGTGAATACTGTAGCTGTAAGGAATTTTGTATATAATTATTCGTAACTTGTAAAATACCTAATTTGTCTGTATATCTAGGCTACGTGCCAAATAAATATTTAGTTTATTTTTAATGGAAAATGTGATCAGGTTTCATTCAATTTATTTCACTTGAAGCCTTGATTATGAGTGTTTTTAAAATATTTCTTGATCATTAGCTCTATTTTTATGAAAAGCTGAGGGCATTTAGCATCAGCTGTATTGTGATAACTGATTAATGAAACAAGTCATACCACAGATCGTATCACAAAAATAAAGTAAATGGGACTGTGAAAAATAAAATGTGGTCAAGGTATTTTGGTAAGCGACCTTTGTTGCAACAGACATTTTCACTTTCATAGCAAGTGTAACTGAAGGCATTTAATTAATGACAGCTCGATGTATCAGTAACCCTTCAAAAGGGATTGTGAATGCACAATCCCTCTACATTTACATAGGGAAATCCCCATGTTTGTTTTTGTACTGCGTTACATACATTCTTGGTATGATTTTAACTATATCAATGGGTTTGTTGAGTTATACATTTGAGATGTTCTATCATGTTGGTAGTACGGTGCCAAGATTATCCTCTAATATAATTATCAAGACAACACTGTTTTTAAAACGTGATCATTTTAGTGGTGGTAGAAATATTCAGGTTTTAGGCATTTTTGTAAAGTAGCCATGTAAAATTGCTCCCCCACAAGTAAAACTCCTGCATTCAAAATCTACCAAAGATAAAAGTACTGTTTTATTTTTCTAATAGTTAAAGAACTCATTAGTCAACAAATGTATTCCTGTCACTGCTACATTATATTATCATATATTCTAATCCCTATTGTTATAGTCATTATTACTGTATTCATTATTTTTATTTTCCTTAAACAAAAAAATAATAGATTCACTATACAAGGGATAGTAAATAGAGCAAAAACAAAAGAGCCCAGTTGTATATCACATTAGACAAACATATCAAACATACTTGTACTCTGTCTTGATAGCCTTTTTGTTAGTCAAATTGGAAAGCAGTTCCATACATTGCTCGACATCCTAAAAAAAAAAAAAAAAAATGTAGGTGTAGGACTGTTTCTGAATATTTACCACAGGAAGAGCAGTATGTGTTTATGTATTTATCTTTGATCAAATAAATGTCTATCGTCTGTTTCTTTTTTTTATTGGTAAAATTGAATATACAGATAATTCAGGTTAACTTCAGCAAACTGTCTTCTGTTTTGAGGTTCTGGCGGTGGGTTTTGGTTTTGACGGTGGACGCATGTTTTACACTCTGATGACGTGTCGACAGAGTCATTTCCCAGAATGCCCTGCGTCTTAACGGCCCACGTCATTGCTGCGCAGCCGCAGAGGAGTCGCATCAGTGAGCTGATGTGGACTTCTTTCCTTCAGTCAGTGAGGAAGACAGTGCAGTTCAGCTACTGGACCTCAGGAGCAACACGAAACCTACCGGACAACCTCTCGGACTCCACGATGACTCGTATAGCCGCCTTCCTCGCTCTGCTCGTGGTCGCCTGCTCCGGTAAGTCCGCGGGGGAACCGGTGGAAGAGATTTAACGAGCTTAAGTAGCCTAGGGGGGGTTTCTTCTATAATGCTAACCAACCAGCTAGTAACGTTAGCTGGTTTATTAAATCACCTCCATGTGTCTTCTTAATTAGGTGGAATATAGCTCTTAGAGAAATGTGAATGACGTGTTAATGCTGTGAAGATGATTCACCGGTGTTCAGGAGTTTAGCTAATCTCAGCTCTGCACTGACAGGAGAGACCTGCACAGACCCAGCGATCACCCCGTCGGCCTACACCACCTCTGACGCCGTCATCTCCTCTGAGTCGGTCTTCATCGTGGAACTCAGCCTGGCCTGTGCCAACGGAGCACAGGTAGTAACAGCCCACCTCCAACCCGTTCAACGGACATTGTGATTAGATATGGATGTTATTGAGCAAATGACTCACTGAAGATCATGTCTGTCTTCTCCAGAGTGTGACTCTGTATGCTGATGTGAATGGAAGACAGTTCCCTGTGACTAGAGGCCAGGATGTTGGCAAGTACCAGGTATGGTAGTGACCTCATAATCGCATGTATTTGCTCTCACTGTATCTGATTTGTTTTTTTTGTTTTTTGAATGGTAAGTACTAGATTACACTAGATAATGACATTGATCTTGTAGCCACAATGTGTTGAGCATTGAATGTTGCCTAATTAACAATCACAGTTGCACTATTCTTATTTCAGACCGCCCTGAACCTCTTACCTTTTAGGACACAATTCGCATCTGAAGTCCAAAGCTTTGTTGTTGTCCATTTTCAGATGAACAGTCTCTTAAAGCCTAGAGCCTTTTAAAGCAGCTTTTGTCAACATGTGATTTGTTCCCTCAGGTGTCCTGGAGTCTTCCTCACAAACAGGCCAGGTCTGGAACATATCAGGTTAAATTCTTTGATGAGGAGTCCTACAGTGCCCTGCGCAAGGTTAGTGTTTGATGCATAGTTTAATAAGCTCATAGTTCACTGCCAGTAAGCTCCACTGCATTTGCAGCGTTCAAGGTTGTCTAATTTTAATTATATGTGTGATTCTCCTTTTTGTTCCAGGCCCAGAGAAACAACGAAGATGTAAATGCCATTGAGCCTCTCTTCTCTGTCAACATTGACCACAGGGTGAGTCTCTTAAAGCCTCTGAACAATTTTAGTATAGAGCAAAAAAAAAAAAAAAAACACTGTACACTACCTACCTAGTACAAAAACAGGAAACAGACAAAGTAAGTGACTAGCTGGTAAACTAGTGGTGCATTTAGCAGAAATAGAGAGGAGACACAAAACAGAATTAAGACAGAGTGAATGTTGGACTTACATTCCCCCGATGAATGTTAATGTTTCTCTGTGTCTGCTGGATGTGTAAATAACTGTCTGCCAACATGTTCATGATCAATTTAGAAGGTTATAATATGGCAGTGATGGGACGTCCAAGAGGCCAAAATCAGTTATTGCAGCCAGTTTCAAGTTAGTGTATTATTCCCCAAAGAGTCTGAAGAAAACGTCAAACATGTAATGACTTTAAGGCATACTTTTATTAGACACAGTCTGTTAAGAACAAGGATTTGCACTCATTCATGTTTTATTAAGACAAGTATTTTGTTTAGGATTTCAATCCTCTGTACAACATGTTTTTTGTTGTATATGACTCTACGTGATAGAAAAGGGTCGTTTTAAAATGTACAGAGGGAATCCATACATTCCTGGAAAAAAAAAAAGACGCACTCATTCATTCAGTTGAAGCTACACCGAGAGGCTTTTTTTTTGACAGTTTGGGACAATATGTTGTTAATGCTCCTTAAGAAATGTATCCTCTACAGCAGTCATTCCCAAAGACTGGTTCAGGGCCCATCATTGGGTCACAGGAGATTTCATTAGGGTCTCCCAAAAATCTTTTAAGATTTCTATCTGCAGTACAACCTTTAGCCACATGAGGGAGCCTGAATACCATGGTTTACCTGTTCATGGTAATATAAGGTGGTGCAGAAATGGCGGTAAAAATGGTCAAGAACGTTAATTTACACTCGAATTCGCTCTTCTGGTGATTTATAGAAATGGCCTCTTGTGAATTGGGTCACGACAGTTGGACTTTTAAAAAGTGGATGCCTAGGAAAATAAGTTAGAGAAACTACTCTACAGTGCTGTTCTCTTGTAATTATTTGTATTATTTAAGCACTCCATTAAGAGTAACATCATACCTAATAACTTGATTTATCTTTGTGAACAATTTGATCTGAGGCCCGACCTGAGCAATCATGTTGCTCTCAGCCTCAGAGTATTTCTAGAACCAGGTGTAACTTGAGTGTATAATTTATCATTTGATAACTTTTCATCTGAACCTGTGATGCGCTTTAAAACAAATTTCAAATCTCTTTCCAGGGTGCGTGGAATGGCCCGTGGGTGGCTACAGAGGTGGTGGCTGCCCTCATGGGTATCCTGGTCTACTACCTGGCCTTCACTGCTAAGAACACCATCCAGGCATAAATGATTCATGATCACTGGATTGTTAAAGACTGAATTCTGGTGGATCTCGACCAACGATCCGTCTTCCGTTGTTGTGGCGAGCCAATAGGATTTTGCCACTTGATCTGCTTTGGGACAAGGAGCAAGAGCAGCAGTCTTTATATTTTTTTAAATTCAGACTGTCTGAATGCCATCAGTCTTATCAATTTTTCATATGAATTTCGGCACAAGTTTGTCCTGTCAACAAGGGATGGAGTTTTGTAACTTTTTTTTTTTTTTTTTTTTTTTTATAAAACCAAACTATAAATCTGGACCACAGAAATAAACAAAACAGATAATGTGCTGTATTGAGTTCTGCTTAAAACCTCTTGCTACGTTTTGATCAGATTATCTTTTGTCCTTCTGTGTTGATGCACTGGCAGGAGTGGGACTTGTATAGACGTGCTGAACACCAACGAAGAGCTGTCAAGACCTCAAAGCATATGAAATGTCAATAATGTGACTGCACTGGCTGGCCTGAACAGGTCTAGTGTATATGTCTCTTCAAGTTAATTCAATAAATGGCTTGCTTTTTTTTTTTTATACAGTGTAAAGTGTTGCTTCAAGTGACAGACCGCCTCTTCTATAAATTCCTCTTTCTCTTAGACAGACTGGCAGATTCATCATCTCTTGTTCCATAGCAACAATATGCCATCTCTGAAGCTTGTTTGGCTGCCAATAGTAAACTGGTTAAGTCTGGATGAGTCAACAACCCCTGACCTCATCTAGATCAAACAACTGGTTCCAAGCAGATTTAGCGTTCACTGACTACTTGCTAGTGTCTCTACTCCAGATCTAAGATTTATATCTGCTGTACTGATGGAACATTACAACTATAGTAGAAGATTTGATTCATTCCAGAAGTTATTTCGTTCTTATTCTAAAATGCTCACCCCATGTACTCATTTAACAGGATCTATAGCAGTTAACAAAACCATGAAGAGAAATGCTGCTGTTGTGGCTGAAGTCTCGGTGAACGGGGGGGGCTATTTCTGTCTGCATGACTGCCCTATTGGCATTCCTAGGTAGCCATGGCGAGGTATGTGTTCCAGCAGCTGATGTCCTGTTCTGTTTTCTCTCCAACAGTTAACATGTCATATGTGTTGCATCAGTAAAGAGGTGCTGGAGCTGCTGTTACCTTCCTGACTGGCTGTGGTGCAGTGCTGCCAGTTGAACACACTGTGGCAGCGTTATGCTGATCCTTAAAGCCCGGGTATCGTCCACAGCGGTGCCAGCTCTTGCCTCATGGACAGATTACATGTGATTTTTACTGGTTCATTACCAGCTGTTGCTAATGTAATGCAATACGTTGCATAATGCATTACAAGCCCCTGTTCTGTTTGTCACATTTCTAGGTACTATCGTGCCTGTGCGATCTGGTTTGTTACGGACATTTAAACTTAGCATGTCTATTTCTGTAGTTGGCCTGAATCAGTGTGCAACACAAACTGTACAGCACATGCAGTGCTGCTTTTTTCGTCTATAAGAGCAGCACAACTGCAACTTTTCACTGACTCCCATGAGACTAATCTAAACTTTGTATACGGGTAATGTACCCGCACACATAAACACTGCACAGTATACAGAGTACACAAGTACTTTATCATAGGTCTGTAGCTTTGTCAGCACAAACACACACACTGTCATGGTGTAAGCACACCACAGCTTTTGTCTCCTGTCACCTTGGCAAGGATACAATAGAGACTTCACAATGTTGGTAACTGTGTAAGACGTGAGCTGGAGTGATTCCAGAAACTCCCCCATGGAGTCACCTATTAGGCTGTGGGACGGCTGGATGGAGGGATATAAATGGAACGAACAAACAAACAGTTAAAGTAGGCCACTGAGTCGATGCTGACACAAGACTCTTCCTTCTCTTGTGTGATGTGAGTGCAAAGTGTTCAACGACTCCAACCCACACATCAGGACATGATCGCGGATGTAGAATGAAATATTTTGAGATTGTTGATGTTGCATTAACAGGAAGTTGCAAATAGTTTTTCGGCAGATTGTTATTTTGTTTCAAACTGAAATTTACAAGGTCACGTAAACATTCAATTACACAACACATGGTTTTTATCTCGATTCACCAGTCCAATTTTGTATTTATAAGTAATGAGCACATGTGCTTATTATTATTTAGTTCAACATAATTATTACAAAAGACAAATATTTTTACTGAGACCTAGGAGTTAGAGGCATCTGGGTATGTGTGCGAGTGCTGTGAGGCAGAGAAAAGCTGCTTTGACAGAGGTGTGTAAAACACCAGCCGGGGGAGGCAGACGCTGACGGGCTTAGTGCGATTCAGCAATGTGGAAACTGCCGTCGCACAAGCGATCCTCACTGGAAGTCACACTTTCTGGCTCTGATGTAAGCATTGTTTCTACTGCCCGTTCTTCACACTTTCTGGAAAGCAGAACAAAGTCAACAAACTGACGGCTAACTCAACAATCAGAAAACAGATTATCTATTCATGCTGGCTTCCCCTTCCTCACTTTACAATAACAGTTATTGTTCTGGTTATTTCATTGATGTGTATGTACAGTGAGGCATGTTGTATAGCTGCTTCCACCACAACAGTTGGATTATGTTTGGAGTGAATAAACTCACTGTCAGTTCCAAGCTTTTGGGCTTCACTCTGTGTTATATCCCTCTTCCTGCTGTCCTGTTTAGGCATCCTCAAATGTGCTGTTCCTGTTTATGCAGTTGCCAGTCAAGAACCAGCCATATATGGGGAAATGCCCTTTTCTCTCTCTCTCTCTCTGTCTCTTTCTTTTCCTCTATCATATTAGACATCCTCTTGACATTTAACACTAAAGGTCAACCAGTGCAATTGAGCCTTTTTTTAAATGAATTTACATGCATTGCTCATAGCTGGCCGGTTGCCATAGAATATTGTAGATTGACCAGACACAAACTGTTGTAAATCCTATGAAAGCATGTTGACTGAGCTCCCATAAAATGGATTTTATCAGACACTCTCCACATGCCTGTTTTTACTGGGATCAAAGAAATTACAGGGTCTTTGTTGAGGTGTAAAAACAACCACGCTTTAAGTAATGAAAACAAGGTGGGCGAGAGTGATAAAAGCTAACCCTGATTCCCCTGGCTCTCAGGGGAATAACCCATTTCAAGATAAATAAAAGCTTCATCTTCTCTAAAGTGTGAGGCAACCTTTTTGTAGGATCACAACTGCTGCTAATAAAAACAAAAGTGTGGCTATATTTGGCAAAAAGCACATAAACACAGCTGCAGTCAAATCGTTGCAGTAAATAAAGGCCTATCTCTATGAAGATACCTTTTATGTGAGAAAAATATCTCCCAAAGTAAATTCCCAGCTCGTTTGACAGAGAGAAAGTATGAAAAAAATCATGCAGTTGAAAGATAGTTAAAGTGAAACAGAGAAAATAACTTTATCTTCCGAAAAGGAATGATGGAATTGCCTGGATCATTTTTCTTTCGCTTCCTCTGTTTATAAAGTATGATGCTCCGGTGCGCTCCGCTAACACAGACTGTAGTCTGTTGTGTAAGTTGGTTGGGGCCTCCCGGTGTCTTGGAATGAGCTCAGTAGAAGCCTCGGCAGTCATCAGGTCTGTTAAACGGTCATGAGTTAAGCAGGGCGGACACATTGCTCAGTGTTGTAAAGCTTCTGGCTCCAGGTCTGATTTATTCTGACTTTGGTCAGGGCTGGGGAGCTCCGGCACTCTTCAGAGCTACTGGGTGCACTCCTTGCCTTACCCTAAATTGATTCGAAGAGGGACATTTACCTATTTTCCTGCACTTGTGACAGCCACACAGAGGAGTCATTTATTTCCTTTATACCCCCATCACAGCCACAGGGCTGGCCGGAAGCTCTGCCCCACTGTAATGAAGAAGTGACCTTGAGTTTAGACATCAACCTTGCTTCGGCTCGAAAACCATAAGCATGAGGACATTCAGCATAAACACACCCTCAGGAACACACACGCTGCAGGATTACAAAAACGCAGTGACCTACCCTATAGACCATCTATCATATGCTCTGACAAGGGGGGATGATGGTGGTTGGGGTGATATTAGCTACTGTCCGATCTTCTATCCTCAGGATAACAAGACAGAGTCACCGGGAATTTCTCTGCAATGATGAATCACATTTTAGTGGGTGTTTGTACCAGCAATTTCTCCATTTACCGTAGAGCATTCATTATTTAGCGGTCGTTAACGAATGGCTGTGCAGACAGTATAATGCAGAATGAAAGTGTGTTTGGCCTCTCCCATCAATCTGAAAGGCTGGGAGGATCAGAAATCTGACCATTTCATCATAAAAGAATCATCCTCTGACCTCTGAACCTCCTGGCAGGAAGCGGAAAAAACATGAACACCCAGAGGGTTTGGGAGAAGTTAATCTATTTCCTAATACAACAAAGTGATACACGGAACGTTGTTGCCGTAGATTTCTGTTTTGGCAGAGAATCAAAGTGCTTGCGTCTGGCGATCAAATGCACAGTGGCGTGCTGAAAACCCAAGCACTCCTCCTTCAACCTCAACGAGTAGTCCTGGGACACATAAAAGCTTTAAAGCATTGTCCAGCAGAATAGAAACGCTGCTCTGTCACGAACAAAAGACTGTGCTGAAGCTCAAAGTGAGCGAACAGCATTTAAAAAAACATATCACTATTTACTGGAACATCGAATCAGAAATTAATAAACCACAAACAGTAAATTCTAATCTTTTTTTATACACACAGAAAGTTATCACATATTTGTACAGATATGTGTGTACAGTAGCTTATATAATCATACTTTATAAAAAATGTCGTAACATTACTATTCTAAGTCTGTCATGCAGTTCAGGGGCATAATACATTACTCTTTACGTATAAAAATGTAATATAAAAACTACATGAAAATGAGGCAGTACTAGGAACTAATAATATATATATATATTAGTTATTGTTAAAAACACACACATATAGAGATATATATATATATTATTTTTTTCAATTATACAACAATAAATAAAAATATAAAAGAACACATGGCTCTTGGTGTGATATAACCAATGATCCTATCTAAGAATAACATGGTTGACATCACCATTCAGAGATTACTCCAGTGAGGGAGGCCCCTCTGAAAATGTCTACTGACATTACAGGCACTTGGTTTGACTGGAAGTATTTTCACTGTTTTTCTTTTCTTAAACCGACGTGCAGTAGTTTCTCTTTACACTTTACATGTCTGCTGAAGCGTTGTAATAACCTTTTTAGGACCTCAATTGATTCTACAGTCGAGCTTTAAAAAAATCTTTGGTTTGACACCCCATTGTTTTCTACTAAACATATCAGACCAATACAACTGTATGATTTACATTCAACATTTATCCTACACAAAATGTGATAATATCTAATGTGCCTTACATTTTCAATAAATATATTTAACATTGTTCATCACTGTACATGGAATGCTGTTTGTTTCCTTCCTGTGTCTTCTTCATGTTCTTGTTTCATTTATTCAGAAGAGCATGACGAGAAGGTCATTTTATGTAGCTCATATGCTGTGTTTGTGCCAAATATAATCACACAATTGGGTCCAAGTTGGTTGCAGAAACCTGGATTGTCCATTTGTATTCTTCTAGGCCTAATCGTTCTAATGGTATGTGAATGCGTTTCTGTCTGCAATAATCCACAGTGGCCCTCATAAATGAATCTCCATGCAACAAATCACTCTACTTCCCTGGAACTGGATTCCTCCCGAGCAAATATATATTCAGCCTCAAGCATCCGCCTTTAATCCACTTTATTTGATTCAACAAAGTTTGTTCACATTATTAGATTTCTACTTCAGCCTCCGGACTGCTCCTGCAGCTATAACATCCATGTCGTACCATCTGTTCTCAGTCCAACAGCAGTCTCGCTCTCTGGCTGTCAATTTGCATCTCTCTCTCTTTCCCTTGGCCTGCTGCTTTGTTTTCTCTACACCCAAAGCTTTGTCTGCTGCTTTGTACATTAGGTGTGCTGTAAGGCTGTTAATGCAATGAATCACCATTTGCATTCCTGCTGCTCTGCGCTGTCTGAGCAGCGAGAGAGTTTTTCTCGTATGAATCAAAGCGCAGGGTCCTACTCAACTGCAGCTGAGGTGAAAACCTCTTTACTTTCAAGGCCATTTTGCATTGCAGATGCTGTCACTGACAGCCACTGTATATTCTACAGTGCCCTCATAAAATGGTGTTGACATCCTCGATGACACCATTCTTCTCTGATGGGGTGGAGAGGACCAGTGATTACAGATACAGGACTTGTTGACAGTACAGCTGTCCTTTGTTGTTGATAACATCTGGTAGAGGTCAGCGCGCTGTGTTGCCAGGCTGCGACGCTGTAGGTGGTGATGGAAGAGTTCTGTGCAATAGCACGTCCTTCCATCAGGCCCGTGTGCACCCCTGCATTTCTTTTTCGAACATGTCTCTTTGTTTGTTTCTGCTTCATCAGTCTCTGTCAGTACATGCTGTCCTTGGTGGTGGAGGTGTGTGTGGTAGTGGAGTCGTCAGGCAGGGAGCCCCGGCGGCCAGTTCGTGACCCACACTGCAGCAGATTCTGCAGCTCTCTGGACACGCTGCTGGAGAAAGCTGTGTAGATCCACGGGTTGGTGCATGAGTTTAGACTAGCCAGCAGCATCAGGATAGTGAAGGCCACTCCTGCCGAGGACACACACACAAGGCACACATAAGGCAAGTGTACATGCAAATGCAGAGACAAGTACAAACATGAAAATGTATAATTTCCCATGTAACTGAGGACAGATGATCACATTGTTCTCTTCTTTCTTATGAAGCAAACATAAATATGTTCAACAACTATTCAGTTAAAATGGTGAAAATCTCATGATTATTTTCTTTAGGAATAGCTATAAATAACCAAGAGGGACAATATTCTGCATACTTCCTTTTTCACTTTTTTTCACAAAATTATGCTTATTTCACAATGGCCAAATAAGGACAATTGACCAGGAAAAACAATTTTTTTGGAATACAAAGCTGATAACACACTGTCATCAGCTAGATTATTGTTGATAGCGTGTCATATCTGGCCATGTTGCTTAAATCAGCATTAACTGGCTTTTGTTGTTTGTCTTTAGCTTAAAATCAGTCACACATCCAGTCCAAACCATCATCCACAACCTAAGGCTCCACTAGCATTACTTGCTTCATCATCGGTTGCCAGTAAGCAGATCAACAGATGCTGTCTGTGTGCCAAAATGTACAGAGGCCAGGGTTTTCAACCAGGGGTTTCTAGTTGATCTTGTATTTGATTCACTGTAACCACATCTGAGCTGGAGCTAGATGTCCTTGGAATAATGAGTATTTAGACACATTGAGATGGACAACAGCATCAGAGGTTGTTGCCTTAAACAAGACCCGACCATTTAGCTTTTGTTTGTGGCTGCGTGAATTGCAAAACAGATAGGGTTTGCACATGTTGGGTAATTAAATGGATAAACTGGGCTGAAGAGGATCAATCCATCTGAGAAAAACAACTCTAATGGCAATGGTAATAACCCAGGTGTCTGTTTCTCATTGTTTTCTGAGGGCGAACGGCGTACATAAGGGAATGTTGCAATTTTGATCCAGATCTCTGAAATCAGGCAGGTATCTGGATAAGCACTACCCGTAAAGCATGTGTGACTGACCTTGGTCTGGAGGGTTGGGGTCCCAGGCCGCCCAAAGCTGGACGATGAAGAAAGGCGACCAGCAGATAGTATAGACCAGCACAATCACCAGGGTCATTCTCACTGTCTTGGACATGGCTTTTGTGATGCTTGGAGGCGGAATGGCTGGAGGGGGAGGGCGGGTGTAGTCAAGGGAGCAGCGTGGTGAGCCAGAGGCCACCTCGTAGGACGTGTAGGAGTCCTGGCAGTCTGGGCAGTTCAGTGTTTGCTGCTGCGTAGGCAATGCTGTTGTCGTCACATGTTCTCCACGGCAACTGTGATACTGGACAGCGGATGGTGCATTGTTGTAGCACTCTCCAACTTGGCTATTATGAGTGTCATTGTGAGGGTTGTTATTCACACCCTTTAAGAACTGTCCTCCTCTGCCATCCCTACCTCCTACTCTGGACGCCCGTCTTCCCCTCTCCCTCTCCCTGGCTTGCTCGTCCTCTTTCTTAAAGCTATTGAAGCGGAACAAGATCTCACTCTTCTTTAACTCAGCCATCACCATCCTTTCTGACTTATGGTAGATGTTGTTGTGAAGCTCTCGGAAGATTCTTATCTAAAAAGTAAGATTATTTTTAAGAATTAGCACAGTTTCATATGTGGGAAACAAGACAAACCATCACTCAAAACACCCAAAGGCCTGAGGACTGAGTCGACTGGAACGTGCCAGAATCAGATGCTTTTCTTTGCTCTTTGCAGACAAGCTTGTTTGTATTTTGGCTTTAACAGTGGCAGGACATTTAAAAAGAAAGAGATTGTGTGTGTTGGCTTTCACCATCAGCCATAAACCATTGTCAGATATATTTATGCAATACCGCTACTCTTCCACTGTTTCTACCAAAAAAGGTGTTATCAAATTTTATTTCAGCAAAACCATTCTTCACGCTATCCTGAGAAACTAAAACAATAATTTTGAATTGAAAAATAATAAGTCATGTATACTTTACATTATACGTTACTTTAAGGTATGTTGCTGCAAACTGTTGTTCTTCTGAAAAGGTGTCTAAATAGCCCTCTAAACTTGAAATCTGATAATGAAAAAAGGTCAGGGATCTATGTTTGGCAGAGATCTGGTATATTCGACTTCTTGGCGGGAGGTTCTCAGAGTGGGCAGATTTTCTGAGCAGCCGTCTCAGCAGTGGTTCTGCAAGTGCTGTGTTAATTAGGGGAAATAGCAGGACCCTGGAAATATCTTTCCCTAAATAGAGCAGCAGGCCTGATGGGAGGCGGCCCAGAATGCCTACCCGCCATGGGATGCTACATAACACCAACCACAGTCCCCCACAGGGTTATCAAACAATGCTGGCCAAATGCACCCTCCGTGAAAACAAGAGAGAATTGAATTCATGCCACACGGTTCATTATTGAATGATGTTCCATTCAACATGTAATCCTTGTCAATGGACTTTGTGGGCGATGCAGAGATTGAGAGCCAAGCCGCTATAACCAGTATTACCTGACAGATGGTAATGATGAAGGCAGGTAGGACGAAGACAGCCACGGTCATCCAGGTGACGTAGGCCTTCAGCCCCCACGGCTCAGCAAAGTGACCCCAGCACTCGAACACGCCAGGAGACACTTCTGGATTCACTTCTGAGCGAGAGAAGATGAACACCTGACAGACCAAACAAAAGGAGGGTGGTCAGCACACCCGCAGATATGACTGTCAGTTTCGTCTTCCATTAGCTGAACTGCAATGACCTCAACTAGCTAAAAATAGACTAACATCTTGAGTTCTACTGTAGAGATCAGGGTGTGAACTCCCGCTTAGTTCTCATTTCCTATTTCACCATGTGTTGTTGTGTTTGTGTAAGGTTTTGTTTGGATGTGTGTTCATCCCTCCCTACCTGTGGTATGCTGAGGACAAGCGCCAAGGCCCAGGCCACCATGACAGGGGTGTTCCAGCGGGACATTGTTCCACCACGGTAGGCCTGCAACGGGCAGCAGATGGCCTGGTGCCGGTCTACCGTCATAGCAACGATCATGTAGGGGGAAGCAAACATGCCCACAATCTGCAAGTACTTGATGGACCGGCACAGAAAGTCAGGCCCCTGAAACCTCTCTGTGATGTCCCATATTAGCTGTGGAAGAACCTGGACACACAGATTTAAAAAAAAAAAAAAGGGACCAATATTAAATTGGCTCTTAGAATAGTTTGTTTCTAGTTTGGCCTTAAGAAATGAGAGAAAAACTAAAAGGCAAGTCTGATTATACACTGATTAATGTAAAAACACCCCCTACATGTGCATCCTATGGGTACACCCTTTAAATAACTTAAATCGCCCTCCTTTTCCAACTGCAGTCATGTTGTGGTGTATCCTCATTGTCACCGTTCTGCAAGTTTAAATAGACAAAAATGGTGTTCTTATATTCTCTATACGGCTATGCACAAGAACAGACATGTTTGTGCCCACGTACACTTACGTTCTTCAGCCATAACAATTAAATAGTGCCCATGAATGCACTTTTTACTTTGGTTTGAGTTGAGTAAGGTTTACATAAAACTACAGCGTCTATAGCGGTTTTAGGAAGTGACTGAGTTTGTACTATCTGTTTATGAGCTGTTTAACAAAAAAAGATTTACAGAGGAACCCCTGGGTTTAGGGCTAAGAGAGCCACATAGTTATGATGAGAGATGGACTCATTATTGGATTGGTTAACAATAAGAAGGGTGGAAGTGACAAATGACATTTACTCTCATTACTGTAGTTGTTTTTGTGTACTTGTACTTTTCTGAGTATTATTATATGTAATTTTACTTTTACTTAAGTATGTATTGTGTATTTATGATTGATAATCAGTTGTATGCACTGGCAGCAGAGTGCCCTCTGTAGGTTTGGATATATAATAGGGTTGTTGCTGTTGTCTCACTTAAGTTGACCAAGGGTGTAACCATGATACAGACAGGGGGCGGAGAAAGCCTGGGTTAATTGTAATTTAAGGATTCATTTTGGGAGATCCTTTGTCATTGTTTAAATCACCAGAAGAGAGGAGTCATATTTCAAAAAAATGTTGTATCTAAGTTTGTCTATTATTTTGCCCACTCTCATACTTTACATTCCTGTCATGGTCTCAAGTAACTCATGAACTGACCTGAAAGAGGGCCACCACTAGGTCAGCCACACACAGGTTGACCATGAACACGTGCATCGGCGCATTCTGCTTCCTCCTCCTCAGCAGCACCCACAGCACAAAGCTATTTCCCAGGGTGGTAAGAGCCAGCACCACCCCGAGAACTGCAATCTCTGCCCGAGCCAGACCCGGGTCCCTCATCCTGGGCTGGGGCAAGGTGTGAGGCGGGGTGGTGGAACCATTCTCAGGGAAGATCCCAAAAAATGACCCCCCGCTGTGAGAACTGTTGAGGGAGTACAGTTCAGAGACAAACAGAGACGAGGAAGAGAAGTTGTTCCTTCCTGTGGCGCCTAGACAGGAGAGGGCTAACCCATCCCAGTCCGTTTCCACACTGATGCTTTCCATTCCTGAAAGACAGACAGCAAAGGGTTAATGTGTGAAAGCTTTTACAATCTTTGTCTGATTAGTTTAAATGATCCCCTGTGCAAAATGGTCACCAGGAGTCACACTGGTGCTCGGTCACAAGACTTTGTACGCACAAATTATAGCAGGCGCAGATGTTATTCATACACAAACACTTTACTTGTTCGGTATTATCACCATATCAAAGTCATGCCTTGGCTCGTTATTAAATTTCCTCTAGTTGTCCTCAGCTTTGTCAGCTGCGAAATCTTTCCTGATCATATCGCTGAGAATCCAAACCAAAAGACTGGGGCCTCTTATTCAAGACACTAGATCAATGACATGAGATGAAGGATTAAACACATGTTGGTGTATCCATTATATTTGCACACTATAAATAGCTTCTGTTGTGCAATTTTATAAAATCTGACTGAAAGTAATGGGAGCCAGAGACTGTTGCAATCGTGCTGCCATGTAAATATTGTTGTCTTTTAATAAGTCTTCATTTCTGTTTGACGCAATTCCAGAATGGTTTATTTTCTTTCATATATTTTCTCAAGGTTGATTGACAGCTTTCCCTTGTATCCCACCCCTCTTATTCCTTCACCTCCACTCTCATAAACGCTCTCATCCCATGCTTACCCCTTACATTCCTGCTTTCCCCTGTTTTTGTTCAACCCCCCCTCTTTCTCTTCTCTCATACATCCAGTCATTCCTTTCTCTTCTACTTCTCACACTCTCTCTTGATCTCAATAAACTTTACGTTTATTTTTCCTTGCTTATAAATAACTGTCTCAAAAGAACAGAAAGTTCTTGAGATGACAATTTAAGAAACAGAGTCGTGGGATGCCGGGGGTACGTCTTGGTCAAATAAATGACCCGTAGAAGAAAGGCTGGGAGGAAAAATTAAGGAAGAAGTGTGATGAAGGCAGTGTGAAGAAAAGGCAGGAAAACAAAAACAGCACAGAAAAAGTAAAAGAATAGAGTTGTGGAATGAGAACAATAATACACGGAAAGAGAAGGTGGACAAATATACTTCTAATGAGAGCTATGTGCTGTTACTTAACACAGAGTGTGTCGTTTGACACCATATCGATGTCATATTTTGACTAATGTGCAAGGAGCGGTTAGGTATACAAATGTTACACTTAATGGGTGCTTGGAAAGTTTCCACGTCTCAAAATAGGAGGAAAACTATATTTATAGTATTACGCTATTGAGTACGACTAACAATATGTTACAAAGTTGTTCTCACTACTCCTCCGAGACCTAATGGCCAATTTGTGAGTAATGGCATACTCACTGCTGGGTGCGAGAGATAACACAGCTGAACATATTGTCAAGCGTTACATGCTGGCTTCGCCAGAGGAATGTATTCAGATGAACGCATGATGAGCCAGGCCAGCTGGACCTCTCCACCCAGCATGAAGGTAGAGCCTCGGATGAAAGGAAGAGAATCTGAGCAGAAGCATTTCTCTTGAGTCAGAGAAAGACCCTTCGGTTCTAAGTGACTCCCCGCTGCCCTGGCAGACGACCACAACAATATCATAAAAAGCTTAAATCTGCATTGGCTTGGTGACTTTTTAGTAGTCTGCTCAAATGTTGGCCCTGTCCTTTAGATCAAAGCTAGTAATATTCTTTCTTATTATCTGTTTATTATTTTTTGCTTTTCAAGTTTTTTAAAATTAATTACAGGGTTAGACAACACAGCCTTTTTTCATCAAGGAATCTCCTGGCCTCTCTTTGTCAGGGCCTGAGGAGCCTCGTGCCCCTCTCTGTAATTACAGCATAATTCATGAGAGGATTCTTTGTGCTGCTGCAGTCCTTTATACAAACTATACAATCTCACTATGTTGCCTATATTTGCCAATTTGATACATTTCTGATATGGAATACCTTTTTCAAGTAAGCCTCTGTGAAGATAAGGTGTAATGACTTAGGGAGGAGGTAGAAATAAATCCACACTATTATAGTAATGTTAAACTAATACCCCCAAATTGCGAAATAAAAGGACTAATAACTGGTAGGAGGAGCCCTCTATGGTGTCTGGACTTATATGGGGAAGTGTGTGAGGCAGATTGACAAAGCATTGTTGCATCTCTAAGTGTTGTTATGATTCTGAATGAGCCTCTGAACACTGAACTCCTCAAGGACACAAAATATGTTCTTCAAATATGCGCATGTCTCATTTGCATTGCGTGTGCCTCCAAGAAATCAAGATGGATTGTCTTCAAATTGCTCAATGGCCCCACAGGAGACCCAAGCAAAGCTCAACATTACTGGCACTGATGTTTCCTGTCCTCAGAGGAAATTCATTAAACTGAGGGTACAGAGAGAGGGTAAATGTTGTCTGTAGAACAGTGCTGGATGCAGTTTATGTATTCCTTTACATACCCTGTCTCTGAAAATGGATTCTGCTTTGCTCTCTCTTTAATAACAAAAAGCACAGCAGAGCTTCCCTATCTGTCTGATTGAGTCACTGTAAAGCACACATTATTCCATCTCTCCGTGCTGGATGGACTGTAGACACTGCTTTTAGTAGTTAGTGCAGTACAGTAGCTTCCTCTCGTTACTTTAAGGATTTCATTTTGATTAATGGTGGAGTTGATTCCTCTCTTGCTTTCCTCTGCAGAGGCAAACCGGTGTTCAACCATCCCTTTTCATGTCCTCTCCATCCTACACCGCTTTCCCACACACAGGACTAGTGCCTCAGGGATGACAGAAACAGGTAATTAAAGTGCGCAAGAAAATGTTATACCGAGCATTAACATCTTTCAACATCTCAGTCCTCTTTTCTCGCTGTTCACACATGTTTTGGTCATTCCCTTTGATGAACTACGTCATGTTCCAGCTATGCCGAGATCCAAGCACGATCTGTTTGTGTTGAGTACCAAATGTCTTCAAGAGACACATTTTTTGGGGTGAGAAAATCACTACTTTGTTATTTTGTCAAAATGACGCATTTGGCCATATATATCATGTGACAGAGATTCAGAACAAACAGAGGTTATTAAGCATAAACCTGGTTAGATATAAGAAAATACAATGTGAATTCAACTCATAGACATATAGGGCTGAAGCTGATTTAAGGCCAAAACTAACAGACAATAACTACATGATTGCATCTTATTCATGTGTGTAGTTGCCATTTTTGTAGATTATTTACAAATGCAGGCTATGCAAATAAAGAGCATTTGATTTTTTTCCTTATTTTTGGCATTTTTTTACAGATCCACATCACTGTTTTTCATTAATTTCTGTATGGCATGAAAATGAATCAGCAGGCTCTGCCACAGTGAAAATCAGGTCTGCAACGTAATATCTGTCAATTTTGCATTATTGTTGCATGATAATGCCATTTGAGCACGCTAATAGTTTCATATTGTGTGACAATGGATGTCTGAAATGGTACAAAAATAGGCTACATGCAAATAACACAGAAGATGTAAAGTATAAGGGATGTGATGCAAATCCACTGCTTTGGTCCTTTTAAGTGAACTTATTTGGTCAAATGAGAAGCAACTTTTTAACAACAAATTTAACTTTGAATAAAAGTAGAAAACATGAGGTTGACTCTGAATGTCCCAGGCGTACTCCCTGTGTTTTGATGTCAAACTATTGTCTATTGTGTATTGTCTTTAGTTCTGTCTTGCCATCTCTTGATTGGCAGAGAAACGCATACCTCTCATGGTGTTTTGCACTTGTTTGCATTTCCAGACAATGACCTCAACCTGGTTGGCCAGTTTATGACTTATCAACATGAAATGAAGGCGGCATCAGTGGCAGACAAACAGGTAAGTCAACCCTGGGTGCAATAATGCAAACGTAATGAAAGTTCCATCCCTTCCTTGCCTGTCTTGTGCGTGCATGTCAGTCCCTTGATTAGTTCCCTTTGACCAGGTTTAACCCGATCTGATAAATGAGGACCTCTCAGTCCTCATTAGCAGCCCAGTGTACACTCACGCAAGCTGTCGCTAATTCCCCCCTCTAATTTGCTCTTCTTCCTCTTTTCTATTTCTTCCCCACACCTGTTAGTTTCTCCTTTTCACATTCACCCACACACTTCATTTTCTCTCCTTCTGTCCAAACCAATCAACCATCTCATGTCATTAAGGATCAACATTGTTTCTGATATGCTAATTCTTTCCATTGGATTTTCATTATCATCCTCATTAACAGACATTGGCATCAGGAAACAGGATTTAAATAGCTAGATCCAATCTGTGAATAATATATATGAATCTAAGATTAGACTGCACCATGCGATATCCTTAAGCATTGGTATTCCTTTCTGCTTTTATTGGTGTGGCAGGAGACTTTATTTACATACCGATCAATAGATCCGTAACAAAGGTCTGGATGAGTCATGTGGCACCACACGCAGGGCTGTGCAGCACTTCATCTGCATGATAAGGCCGCTATGACCACGCTTTCTTCTTCAAGCCCCACATATCACTAAATTAGATTCCCATTGGCGCTCTCACATGCAGAGGATATATTCCCCATCTGAATGAGTCAATTCAATGATAGGTGAATACTCTGTATATACTTATGCATTTCAATTTGTGGAGGCACCTGCTGCACTTATTAATTCACAGCTCTGTATCCATGATTTATTCCTCTCTTTCAGAGGGTATCACTCAGGTTCTAGCCTCCTGGCTGCAGCCCATGTGAGCAATTACAGCAAACACTTGTTCTTTCACTGTCTTGTACAAACAACCCATTCAATGTTAATCATGTGGAGACACACCTCATTGCACACTCATTACCTGCCCACATTTCAGCTGTGAGTTTTGTATTCACAAACATCGGCATGAGTTTATTTCCACAATTCTCCGGCTGGTGGACAGACCTCCTCTCGGTCTGGTGTTGCAGAAGGCACAAGTCCCGTTATCAGCACTGATAACGCCTGTTCGCAAGACCACTGATTGTTGTTCTTGTTATGTATCATTAACCAGCACACTGGCAACATGAATGTGACCCAAACTGGTTTAAAATTGAGAGTATTTTCCAAGAAGAATAGAAACTGCGTCGCAGTGTTAACACATCGGCTAAAACAGGCCTGCACTTTTTGTAGCTGATATGGTTAGATTCGGCCACATGATGAAATGATTCCCCATTAGAGACCAAACTAAATTGACTGTGAAAATAACTGTGACAATAATGATGATGATTATTCCGGATGGGGGCTGGCTACACTCAGGGAAGTCATTTTGTGGATATTACAGACTGTGCCAAACAAAAAAAGACAGAAAGTGTATGATTAATGGAAAAACTCTTTTTTAAAGCAATTTGATTGATACAAACACTTCCTGCTCTAAATCACATTCAGTAAAATATGTGATTCTTATAAAGAAATCTAGAGAGGTTTCTTTTATTGTTAAATTGCTATTACACTAGTGGAAACTGGTAAGACAGACTTCTGCGATGGTGGAGATACAGGCTTTCACTTAGAATTAAAGCTAAAGAGACATTTTAAATGTCATCTATATATTAAGTAATTAGTTGTTCTGTATACAAATCATGTCAGGTCATAAATCAATTTACTTTGAAAGTACACCCTTGTGTGCACCATAAACACACAGTTGGTCTGGGGGGCCACAAATCTCTTTTTAATCATCCAAAGACCTTTTGATCCTAAAATACGGGCAGGACACACAAATGCACGATAAAAAAGGCACAAGCACACACAAGCACATAAAAGAAGAGCACTCCAAGGTGAGTATGCCTCTGTCGCCTCTCACCTTGTTGTCAGTGCATGGTAAGCCTTCTCACGCGTGTCCTTTTCTCTTGGTCTGTTTCGCTCTCGTCTCGATGTCTGTGGGGACAAAGCATTTAGAGTCGTCACCATTACAGTCCATTAACATTACATGAGAGAGCAGATCACATGAACAACCTGGTGATTCCCTTCAGCTTTTTTAATCCATGGAAAACTTAGAGGAGCACATGCATTTTCAATTAGGCTGTGCCATAAAATATTTCCGATCACGTACATCCGTCTGTGCCAGACATACTGTGTGCGTTACTATACTGATACTGATGGCATGATAAATACAAAGGCTACTGTGAGTTACAATACTTCATCAAAAGCTTTATTCAAAATGTATCACTTTTGTTGTCAAATCAACTTCATGTAATATTCAATCATTTGAAATAAACAGATGACTACACTCAGAAAATGTGTATGTAAAAATCATACATCTATATATATGCTATACAAGCTTATTTTCATGCCAGTAATCGTTTATGTAAATGTTTCCTAATGTATTATCAATACATTAATTCACTTTCCAAAACAGGGCACTGTGTCTGAAAATACGATTTGTTTTGTGTTCCTCGATTCAATCTAATGAACATTAAATTACACAGGTTTCCTTCTATTTTTAAAAGAAAAAACAAGACATAGAGCTGTTAGGTTAACAGTGCAAATGTTACATGAGTCAGAAGAGTAATGATACTGATGATGACAGCATTGCAAATGAGTGAAAAAGATGACCTAGATTAATCGGTAAACAAATCCATTCACTCACAATGTGACCAAGTTTAAGTTCCTACAGATCCCTGGGATGTTAAGTGTTTTCAATGACAAGAGGACAATTTTTGGATGATTTTAATTTGTATTAATTTAAGTATAAATATCACTATCAGTTCTAGTATTCAAATCAAACAATCGCCACAGATAAAATCAAAAGCACTCACTTATGATCCACTTGAGTGGTGCCGGGTGACACAACACATTCAGAAATTCACCCAAAACATTCACATTGTCAGTGCTGTCAATCCAAGTCCCTCGGCGCAGCGTGATATCAGCTGGCTCCTGAATGAATGTGTCTTCATCAAATTCAGGTATTTCTTTTTAAATGTTCGGTTAGTGGGACAAACAAGTTCTTCAAGCTCTGTGTGAGTCCTTTGTGTGCCTCCTGACTGTATTGTCCTTGCTCAGTCTGAGTTCACAGGTGTATGTCAGAATAATCCATTCGATAGCCATGCGTGTCCCAGCTCCTTGCGCGTCACGTTATGCTCTTGCAATGTGCTGTGCTGTGCCTCCAGCACCACCAGCAGAAATGAATCTGAGCTCAGTCTGCTCCTACCTCTCCCTCCCTCCCCCGCTATCCCCTCCTCCTGGGTCAACCAGCCTGTCCTCTAGGACTGAGGGTGGAGCGTGGAGCCAGGGGTGGAGAGAGGCTGTTATACATACCTATGAAGTGTATCAGAGAGAGAGGGAGGTGGACAGTGTGACCGAGTACTGGGTTTATCTGCATGTACACATCTATGTACGTGTATCTGTTTGTGCATGTGCATGTATATGTGTGCAAGCTTGTTTTGAAGTTTGGGTGTGTGTGACAGAGAAGCTTCTCTCCTCATTGTAATGATTTACTGTATGCCTGCTGTGAGTCATTGATACACACCAGCTTTTATTCAAAGCTCTCCCCTGTTTTGTCCTCTGTTACCTTCCATCGCCTCTGTTGTTGGTGGAATAGGGCCAGTGCACTTCCACCTATCCAGGAATGCTGAGTCAGCCGGCCAACAGCAGCAGGTCACGCCCTTAGTATACACATAGTATAGCAGTAAAGGGTAGTGCAAAGAAAAAAAATGTCCTTTAGTCTTAATGTCAAAGCTCTCACACACATGTACATGTGATGGCAAGAAAATAAAGTTGGCATAAACACATATACACAGTGTGTGAATTCATCAATTCATGCATACGCATGCACGACTCTTATACACACACACACACACACACACACAAAAATCTAACCAAACAGGCAGATGTTGTAGATTGACGCACATTTATTTTGACAAGTAAATTGTACCCTCCTCCTACTTTTTCCCCAAAAGTTTCAGTTAACAAGGAAACTTCACTTCATTGACATTTTACAAGTATTATATCATTCCCATTCAGTGGCCCCCAGCAGCAACAGCAGCACACACACACACAGACAGCATGCTATACCCATCAGGCAATCTTGGTCTGTCTAGCCCAAAGCCAATGATTCTTGACCAACAGAGACTAGATTGTCCCATGATGTCAGAAAACCTGGCGGTCTTCCTCAGTGCTGCCAGGTTCACATCAGTCGACCCATGCTGCCCTGCCGCCGAGGAGGCGGGGCTGTAAGCTCCCTGAGAATCACTCTAATATGATTATCCGGGCTCCTCTGGTCTTAGAGGACGTTTTGTCACAAAGCGGTAAAGCAGCACAATTACTCCACAATCTACTTAGTTCACATGATGACTGACAAGCAAGTGATAAGGGAGCGGCAACAAAGAGAAAATGCATTCATTAGCTGGACAATAAAATCACGTTGAATGTGTGACAGAGAGATAATGAACAATTGGCTCCGAGTTTTAAGGTTATGAAAATACAAACTTGTAGAGAACCTGTATGAAGAATTTTATCTGGGAACACATCCACCCACAATACATTGTCTATCATCAGGTAGAGCATCTCTTGCACATATTCAGGCGCCAAGCAGCGGTAACGTTTAAACGGAATGTTGAGACCTTTAAATATCTCAATCTATGACAACCTTTTCCTCAGAGATTTCTGGCTTGACATTCTCCCACATGTTGAGGCTTATTTCCAGCTCCTAGTATTGTGCCAGAAATAAAAAAAAAATGACAGCTGTTTTCCTCTGAGAGGGGGTGTCTTCTGCAAAGACCTTTCATTGACTCCTTTCAGGGAACTCTTTATCCAATCAGAGGTGTTGACAATCGTATGAAACAAATCTTGCATTTAGGTTATTTAAATCAGCCGTGTTGTCAATCAGGAGCTGTCCTCTGCCTGGACAAGAGAAAAATGGAGACAGTCCTGGAATACAGGACTGTCTCCACTGAACCAAATCCCAAAACAGTCACTCAGTCCAAGTCCGCCTCTGTCAGAAATCCCAAACATGACTACCATCAACCTCAACACAGTTATATGAGGCTTAACTAAATGTTCACTCAGAGGGACAAAAAGTCAGACATAGTCATTTGTCTTGTCATATGTCTGCGGGCCGAAAAGTGCACAGAACACCTGGTCTTACAGTTGGCACTGAACAGTTAAGAAACATCTGAGGAAATCATTAACTGTGAGCCAACCCAATAAATAACAGAGGCAGAAGAAGGATTTGGGATTCACCTTGCCAATAAAGTGCAGTTTTATTTCTATCAAAGGCCCTATTATGATCATTATTCTGCAAGCTCTTTTCCTTAAGATAGAAACCCTATTTTTTATTGTCATATACATGAAATTTGACTTCTGCATTTGACCCATCCCTGTATATAGGGATGGGTGGGCTGCCAATGACAGGCACCGGGTGTTCAGGGACACTACGACACGTCCCAGTCGAGGATCGAACCGTTGACCCTGCGGTTACCAGACAACCCTCTTAAGCCGGTGAGCCACGGTGATTTTACATTGTATGCCAGAATGTTACCATTTATTTACAAAGGGTAATACAACCCAATACTTTTGGATTTAATTTCCAACAAATAAAATAATCACAATAGACATTCAATACATAATTGTTGCAGTTTAATATATGTTCTCAAGACAAATAATAAAGGGACATTTATATTACATCACAAAATTCACAATGTACTGCTTGTTTAGAAGAAAAATCATAAAATCTTTAATGACCAGCTTAACTGAGCTCATGAGGATAACCTCAGACTAGTAGCGCCGGCTCACCGGCTCAGATCTGTTCTGTGTCTGTGAGGTCACCAGTGTGCCTGCATGCTTTAATAAACTCACAACATCACAGCAACTTCTGAACTGGACTTGAATGATTTCTTCAACACATACCACTCCAGGTATCGATACCTCCCGCTGAACAACAGTAGCATACCACTCCAGGTATCGGTACCTAACCCTGAACAACAGTACCTACCACTCCAGGTATCGGTACCTAACCCTGAACAACAGTAGCACACCACTCTTGGGATAGGTACATACCTCTGAACAACAACAGCATACCACTCCAGGTATCGGTACCTAACCCTGAACAACAGTAGCACACCACTCTTGGGATAGGTACATATCTCTGAACAACAACAGCATACCACTCCAGGTATCGGTACCTAACCCTGAACAACAGTAGCACACCACTCTTGGGATAGGTACATACCTCTGAACAACAGTAGCATACCATCGGCCACTTTTCGATCGGAGCGTCACTGCCTCAGACACTGAATCAAAATAGCATTAAGAGTGAAACGCTGAACTGCATGAACTCACACATGAATGAAAACATTAAAAGAGGACTGCAGCGACTGGCAGGTATCCTCAATCTCTGATGATGAGTGACTGTAAAACAAACTAAATAAAAACACAATGTTCTGAACTTCTGGAAAGGTATATGAGATCCAGGATGAACAAACTTAAAAGAAGCTTTGGGTGTGCAACTGTGGGTTCGCATGTGCCTCACACATATTAACATGCAAGTCTTTACAAAAAGCTAATGCAACAATACCATGCAGTTTAAATCAACAGACTATGTGATGAGCTGATCACGTTAGGTGAAGAAATGAAGCTAAGACAATGGACCACAATGGACTAATGTTCAACACTGAAATGAGTTTGATCTGATGTTAATGTTGCTCCTGTGATAACACACGTTACCGTTAGTGTTACCTCAACTGTTCATCGTCTTGAACACACGTTGTGATTTCTGGTCCGCTCTCCCTTTTGGTAATCGTCCCGTTTGCGGTCCTACAGTTGGTTCAATAAGAGCACAAGTAAACACAAGTTAGG